TGTTTTGGTTTCGATTTTCATTTTTTTTTTGTTGTATTCGATATTTCATTGGCCAATTTTCAAGGGTATTGGGGATGGAAAATATGGGAGTAAGGGTGTAAAAGTTCATAAAAGTCCAGAGCAGAGCGTTGAGAAATAAAATAACTAAACTAAGGCTACATTAAACTAAAAATAATATATTTGCGGTCAAAATATCAGTAGTATTTGCTTATAAATGTCGTATAAAAGGGGATATTAATATCCATTCTTTCTAAAATTGGGTAAATTTAATAGACAAACCAATTTATTTCATACTGTTATTCAAACCGCAGCTTTATGTTCAAAGTATATAAAATGGATGTGTGTGTGTGTGATTGTTCTTTAAATCTATGTACGAGTATAAGTAGTCTATGGCATTTATGGTCGAGTGTGTGGGTATTACCATAACCAAACTAAAGCTAACTAAAAGCCAAACCAACTAAAAGCTCAAAGGAAATTTAACAAAATTCAGAACCAGCTGCCCAATGTTCGGAGTAAGCAAAAAGGTCAAGATGGCATTTACTCTTCAATATGGAATTTATTTTTGGATGAAGACAAGACAAAGCATTTAATAGACCGCAAATTTCCGGACTTTGAGCAACCGATTCAATTCTGAATAGAGTTAACGAGTCAAGTGGGTGCATTTGTGTGGTTCGAGTGTGCGTGTCAATTAATTGATAAACAATACCAATACCAAAAGCAAACCCTTGCAAATTAATCAAATCAACAGAGCAATTCACAAAAGATATGGGGAAACAGTCGGGGGGAGCATAAAAACCCGCGCACAATAAACATTAGAATAAGAAAATAATAAAAAAGACATGGAGTGAAATAAACGTTTAACGTCGACTCTCTCTCTCCGTTGACCGACCTAGGTGGATGCGCTTCAGCACCAGGGTGACCAGCGGACGACCCAGCAGATCCCAAGCGGACTTGAGGAAATTTATCTCGCCCTTGAGGATGTCGATCATGAGTTCGTTATCGGAGGCGATATAGAAGCGCGACAGGTCGGCGAACTGATGCGTGATAAACGGTAGAAATCATAAGTCAATCATCAAGTACAGTGATGCAAACCGATCGACCCTAGATAAACTTAAGATTAAATTAATTAAATTCAATTCATTTTTTTTTTCATAATTTCAATAAAAAATACTAACCAAAGTGTCAATTCCAACAATTAAAATACAAAATTTAAGTTAAATTAAGTGAAATTATTACTAAGTATAGAAATATAAAATAATAATTTTTTAACAAGCCAATTTTCCATGATATAATTGTTAGTATTAGTCTCAAAGATTTTGCATTATTTTAAGAAAATAGGAATTGAAAACGCCACGACCGGTTTGCATCGCTGACCAAAAATACAATAGAAAGTGTAAAAACAGAGCAATGGGGCAAGTGGGTATTTTCAGGAGTCTGGGAAGAGGTGGCCGGGTTTCTTGGATAATTCGAGAAGGCTAACTGGACTCCACTGTCACTCACCTGCGGCGTGAAAGCGAATATGCGATCCTTCAGCGAGTACAGCTTGCTGGTGCTGAGGATGCCCACATCACGGGATTTTCTGCCGCTCAACCCCAGCTTCCGGTTGCGGCCCAGGTAAGTGTAGAGGTGGCTCAAAACACGTGCTGGCTGCACCTCTATGGGAGCCACCTCGGCGATCGTCTGCACGTGTAGATCGTGCTCGGCCAGCTTGTCACGGATCTCGTTGTCCTCGGCAATGATGACCACCTGGACGACCACGTCTGGTTTCTTTTGAGCTCCCAGGCGACGATTCAGCGGATCCAACTCACCCACGGCAAGGAAGCCCTAAAAAGGTTTAAAGAAAAACAACATTAGAAGCAGTCGTGGATAAGAAAATATATCTTTTAAAAATGTCTAAAAACGATGATTGCAATTTTTGACCTAACCAATTGCCCGCAATTGTACGTAGCTAGATCGATATAAATACTTCACAGGGTCACTAAGGCATTCATCTATCTTTAGCAACCAGAAACGTAGAAAACAAAAGCTCACCTCCTGCAGCAACCTTCCGAGGATGAACAGGGACTGGCCCCACAAGAAGGGACACCGGCCGACCACTTCGCGGACCTGGGATCCTGGCTTCTGGTACTCGAAGCCCACCAGATCCTGTGGCACCGCATAGCTCTCCGGCACGAGGAGGATGCCATCCTCCGAGCGCACCATGATCTTCTCCAGCCGGCTAGCATACTCCTCCACCGAACGTTTGTCGCTCTGAAAGGCGTGGAACAGGATCAGGTAGCAGTAGAAGAGCGGCCACTCGCACTCGATGTTCTCGAACATGCGCAGTTCCCAGCGCTCGTAGTAGAGCCTGGAGGGATCCTCCTTGGGGGTGCGGTAGCCATCGCGCAGGAATCTCTTGCAGCCGTACTTGCCCTGCAGTCGGGATAGAATCGCATCCTTGGTGTTGTGGATAAGTTGGGCATCGTCCACGGCAAAGGCGGGAAAGCCGATGACGCACAGCAGTCCGGAATCCAATTCCTTGCTGTTGGACTCGCGGGGCAGCATCGACTGGAGCACTGCCTGGCACTTGTGGGCCTCGTCGGCCAGCACATGGATCACACTGGCTGGCCCGCCGCGGGCTCCGAACAGATCCAGCTCATTCATGGCCTCCAGCGCCGCCTTGGCCATGCCAATGGAGCTGGCATTCAACTCCGGTTCACCTGGAAAACATAAATATATCAAACTTCGATCACATAACACATTATAATGCTGAATATTTGTTTAATAAGAACCAAACATGTTATTATAATCAAGCAATTCATTAAGTTCGTAAGCTCTTTATTATAGATTTGATTTATATTAAACCATTTACTCACCATGATTGGTCTTGTCGCCACGCTCCCATATCCCGTAGTCAGGAATTGAGTAGGCCGACTCAATGTAGAAGACCAGATTTTGGATGAACGACACCTCGTCCAGGGAGAAGACGATCTGCAGACCCGAAGCCGTCATCTGGGCCAGGATCAGCAGGTACAAGGAGACGGCATCGATCTGGAGATGGCCCCACTCATTGTCGCCGACCACGGGCAAGCCGTTCTTGCTGGAGTACTTGGCGTGCAGGGAATCGTAGGGACTCTGGGTCATCTTGAACTTCTCCACCTTGTCCTTCTGGTTCATCATGGCCATGAGCAGGCCGCGCATTAGCTTCACACAACTCTGCTCCAGCTCATAGCACTTGGCCCGATCCTCGTCCTGGTCGGCAATCTTCTTGTACGCCATGGACAGGCCCCAGACGGCCAGGATGCAGTAGACATTGTCCCTGATCCAGGCGTGAGAGTTCACATTGGAGGCGGGGAAGAGGCCGGTGACCGGCTCCTGGTGGGCCAGGATCAGCCGATGCACGATACGCTGATAGTAGTCCAAGCGGACGCCCGAATTGCTGCGGGAACGCATCGTCGATTTGGATGTGGTTACCTTTCCGGTCAGTTCTGTAAGAAAGGCATTTATTTACTTTTTATGGTACTACTTATATTCCGAAAAATAAAATCATGTTATTGTTATACTGTTCCTAATAAGATTATACAGAATGTTCACGATCTATACTATATATTTCATATTGTGCATACAGCTGACATAGGCATGTGTAATATATCAACTTCATCAACAACATACATGGACATTTGTTTATTTTGGTTCTAGGAAGGTCAGCTAAGTAAGGTCTAGTTCCGAACCTCACACATGATATATTTATATAGGGATCAATCGGAACGGATTAATTGACCTGCGGAGATGCGATTGTTGTTTACCCTCGACGACGCGGGCACGCTCAACTTACATAATGTCGGGTCGGATCGGATGGGATCGCCTCAGATCGTTTGTTGTGGTTCGGCGGAGTGGAGGAGGCGGAATCTCAGAGCTCCCCGGAACAACCCGCGACCGCTAGAACCCGTAGAATGCGTTGAGTTCGCCGCGAGGACAGCGCATTCTCTCCGGGATTCGGCGGGTGGAGTGGCGCACAGCTGCCGTGCGAGTTTCGAAGCCTGGCTAGCCACTTATTTGCGAATAATTCGAAAAAAATTGTGATTAAACTAATGCACTAAAGTCAACTCAATGTCATACAGCGTGACCGCGCCGGACCAAACGAAAAATACCAATTTGGTCTCAAAAATATACTATAAAATACTATTTTATATATTACAAAATACCACTCTTAGCCGTGTCACCCACCGCAGACAGTTTGCCGAGTAGGGCATACACAAACCATCTCTTGTTGTCAATTGGATTCTGATTGGAAATAGCGGTAATTTAAAACTTAAAAATTATGGGAAAGTAATCTTAAATAACTTGGTATTGAATAGTTTAAAATATATGAGTATTATAGATGGTTTACATTTTGAATGGATAGCTAAAATGCTCTGGTTTCTATGGCGCCAAAAACAATATGATACCCAAATGTTTGATAGCTTAAAAAGCTACCGTATGCAAATATAAACATACAAACACAAAACAATATAAATAAAACATTTGCGGCGTGTGAAAATCCCGAAGCATTGCAAGCCTACGTCTATAATGAAAATGGTTCTCACTATCTATGGATTTCGGAGACACTAGAAAATCCGGTCTGAGCTCCAGTTCTGAGCGAGCTTGAAATGTGCACTTGGAAAAAGTGCTCTCAGTGGCGAATGGGAAAAATATGCGAAGGTTGGATACCCTTCAGCTCTAATTACAATTTATTACGAAGTAAAAGACGTAAAATAAAAAAATAGGAATCGACTATGGTTTTATCGGATGGACTTTCAGAACCTTTAACATCTTTAATTAAACTTATAAAAAACTTCTCATTTTCAAAGTTCCAAAACGAAAAAAAAGGTCATGTTATCATGACATGCCACAAGTTGTGTGTAGGTTACCCATTACTTTGTAGCGAAAAGTAGTCCCCTTTTCACTAGACCCCATCGCCACTGAATGATTCAGATCCAAAGCTACGGCTCTCCGATCTTTCACTTTAAGTAGTGTGCTAGACTTGTGAAAGGCATCAGTTTCAGAAAAGCCATTGCATTGATTCAGACTAAAAGCTATGGTTCTCCGATCTTCTATAGCATTGTATCTCTGCGGGGTGTTACTATCCAGCTGCTGTGCAAGTAAGTTAAGCTTCAATTAAAAGAACAGTTCTTTAATAAAGTAAATATGGTTTACAAAACAAATATAATTTTATTTTGGATAATGCTAACAACTTTACAAGCGGATCTTTTAGGAAAACGATATATTAACATATCGGGAAAAGCAAAAACTGGTTTTTGATGTCGTTTATTACAATAAAAAATCGAGTTTTCATTACATTAACATGTGTACGGATAAAACCCAGCTTTTATTTTCATTTTTCAAAGCTAGTCATGGGGTTTTTGAAATACAAGAACTATTTCCTTGTGTGCTATGTTCCTTATACCTTATCACGGGTTTTCTTGATAACTGATATTTGAATTGGGAACTAGTTTCATATGTATGATTCCTTAGCGGATCTTTCCTATAAACACTCTTTTCTTTCGTATTATATTCCTTATAACTTATGCCTCGAATTTTATATTTATTTTAGAGCCCAAGCTCCACTTTGGCAGCTGTCGAGGATCGGGCCAGTGCCGCCTCGTTGAGGACTGCCTGGCGGAGCCGGGATTTGTTCAGGCCGAGGACTCCTCCGAGTGCTTGAACACGGTTTGCTGCGTGAGGCGCCAGTCGGAGTACTCGCAATCGGTGGAGAACTACTGCAGCCACGACCTGAAGCCCCACATTTCGAATGGCGAGGTCACCAAGGTGCGGGAGTTCCCCTGGATGGCCATGTTGCTGTACGGCGATAGGCTGCAGCCAAAGTGCGGAGGTTCCCTGGTGGGCCAGAGGTGGGTCCTGACCGCCGCGCATTGTGTGCCCCGGCATGATTACGATGAGCAACTGCGTCTCGTTCGCTTGGGAGTGTGGGATGTGCGGCAGGTGAAGGATTCCCAGGACTTTCCCATTGCGAGAGTCATCGTTCACGAGCTGTACCGACCCGCCGAGACAACGGGGACTAGTCTGGAGAAGCACACCCATGACATTGCCCTGCTGCTTCTCAGCCGCAGCGTCACCTACTCGGAGTTCATCCAGCCAATCTGCCTGCCCTCGCCGTACACTCCCTCCCGCGGGGATGCCTATGTGGACTACAGCCTGACCATCGCCGGTTGGGGTCGCACCAGTGAGCTGACCACGGACACCAGTCCGGTGAAGATCAAGGCCCAGGTGAGTGGCTGGTCGCGGGACAGCTGCAAGAAGCTCTACGAGGACGTGGGCGAGGCCCAGATGTGCGCCGGTGGCGGTGCCTCCAGGAAGGGCAGCTGCTTCGGCGACTCCGGCGGCCCGGTGATGGACGGCAACCAGCTGGTGGGCATCGTCTCGCTGGGGGAGTCCAAGTGTGGATCCGACCGGGGACCCATGGTGGTCACGCGGGTGGAATCTTACGTGGCCTGGCTGGAACACCACCTGCTCACGCGTCCTAAGACGAACAAGCACTCGCAATTATTCAACATTTTCGTTAGGAAAGTTTTTAGCTAGTGTGTAAAACTGGAAAAGTTTCGCAACAAGTCAATATGTGTGCCAAAATAATGCTCTCTCTGTAAATAATTAATTGTACCATGTATTTCTTAGAATTTTTTATAAATGTATTTTTTTTAGCCAATTTTGAACAATAAATGGTAGTCTAATACTTACTAAAAACCCAATTGATTGCAATCAAATTTAAAATATATTTTCGAAGAGAAAATCAAAATAGTAAAAACAATACGTTTATGGCAATATTAAATTGATGGTGACATTTTTGTTTTTATATTTTACCAGTAATCTTTAAAATCAAATTTCTGCCCGGTGTCGCCCGCTCAAAATCAATCCATTTGAAATGCCAGCTTAAAGGTAACGCTTTTATTGCCCACATGAGAGGTAACTTTTGGAGCAACTTTGGGTCTCTCAAAGGACTATGTAAGTTTAGGCCACGGAACTGCACAGTCCGCAGTTGCTCACCGGGCACATCTTCATCTCGACATCCTCGCCCACCCGAACCACGGCTGCCATGCCGTTCTCCGAGTGCGGGGAGATGTGGCAGTGGAACATCCAGTAGCCGGGGCTGTTGGAGTAGAACCGGAATATCGTGTAGCCGAAGGCGGGCACCTGGACGGAGTCCTTTAGCGGAGCACCCTTTCCGCGTCGCGGCAACGGTGTCTTCTTGTCGATCTGCTCGATCTGGCCGATCTTCTGCTCGCCCAGCACACCCATCCCGACCACCCGGAATGTGTAGCCATGCAGGTGAATCGGATGCGGCGTCTGCGAGAGGCTGGAGACGACGAACTCCACCTGCTGGTTGGCCGGCACCTGGATGACGTTGGAGCACTGGCAGTGGCGCTGCCGGCAATTGAAGCCCAGATCCGCCTGCTGGGAGCGATTGCAGAAGAACTGGCCCACGCCCAAGTTGCGTGTCTGCAGCAGGGACATCTTGGGCATGTTGAAGCTGATGTCGTCCATTTGGAAGCGGAAGCCCTCGCCCTGGCGCACTTCGAAGGCGTTCATGCTGGTGTAGAAGGTCACCGCGGGCGGTACTTCCGGTTCCGGTCGCTGGGCATTGAGGGTGGCCAAGGATATGCTACTGCCACCCTCCGCCTCGTCACCCAGCTCATTCAGTGTCTTTCCGGGCGCATCGTAGGCATAGCTCAGGGTGTGCGCGTCCAGCTTCCGGGGATCCGCATCGCGGTAGTGCAGCACCGCCTCCTGATGCAACTGGTTCCTGGCGCAGAAGCTGTAGCCCTTCACCCGGATCCAGTAGTTGGCCACCTCCTGGTTGGCGTGCAGCACAAAGTCGAAGCGCTCCGCGCCATGGAACATGATCCGTTGGACCTCCACGGGCTCGATGTCGTTGCCATCGCTGGCGATCACCACCAGGTCGTGGTTGTCGATGCTCAGGCTGATGGGGCAGTTGGAGACGCCTGTAAGGGTAAAGTAAATTATATAAGTATGTAATTAGGTGTCTAAAAGTAGGCAAACATATTTCAATTTTTGTTTTTTAAGGAGTTGGAAATTTGTACAATGTACATAAACACATTTCTTTTAACTTCTAAACTTTTTCCATCTGCCGTCATAAAAAGGTCTTTGAAAGGGCCTCCTTCTCCACAGCAAAGCTCTCCTTTTGACTCACCATTAAAGATCACCCGGAAGCGGTAGCGCCCGCCCCTGACCACCGGAAAGTGGGCGTAGAGCGTCGGCTTGGCGGCCTTAACGCCCTTCTTGAGGTTCCTGCCCCGGCCGTTGATCAGGATATTCTCGGCTACGCTCTCCACGAAATTGTGCACCCAGTCCTGGATCATGATCACGTGCTCCGACATGTCAAAGTCGTAGAGATGGGCATGGGGATTCAGCTTGGGTGGCATGCGCACCACCAGTGGACCCGCCAGCCCAAATGCCCTCTGGTGCTCCGTGTGGCTGTGCCACCAATTGGTGCCACCGTGATCCACCTCGAAGCGGTAGCGGAAGGCCTGGCCTGCTTCAATTGGGTACTGGGTCACGTGGGGCACTCCGTCCATGAACGGCGTCAGACGCTGGTGCATCCCGTGCCAGTGGATGGTCGTCGTCTCGTGCATGCTGTTGATCACGTCCGCCACCACGGTGTCACCGTGGCACACCTCGATGCTCATCCCGGGCAGCTGGCCGTTGACCACCATCACCTCGCTCTCCAGTCCATCGGCGTACTTGCAGTCGTCGTTCGCCGCCAGCTGATCCGCCAGGGTGATGCCGTCCACGTACTCCTTGCCATTCAGCTTGAAGCGGAACTTTGTCTACAATGTGGGGGAAATGATTAGAAATCTGGAATATGAGGGATGCGGAAATAACACTAGGATTTCGAAAACCTTTTCAAAGGTGTCTAAAAGTATGAAATACTATATGTTAAATTCAAAAGTCCATCGTTGTTTTTTCACTGCATACTTTTAGGCACCCTCATAGGAGGATTGATATGTTTTTCTTTAGAAAGGGTTCTTTCGAGACCTGGAGGTATCGCTTGCAGGTCTCCGCCATCGTATCATCATAGTGCACCACCATGTAGTAGTAGCAGGTCATCGGCTGGTTATCCGCACAGTCGCGTCTGCAAGGATGCCGCTTGTTATCCTTCTCGGCCGCCCGCCACTGCGAGGACTCGCCTGCGCCTGAGGACAGCTGGGGATACATCTGCATTATCCGCTCATACTTGCTCACGATCCGCTTTCCACTGGCATCTATCGGTAATGTTAGAAAATTGATCTGATCACATTTGATGATTTATTAACTTGGTTTTTGTATTCGAACAATTAACAAAATTTGGTCTAAGAATGTGTAATATTTAAATTATTTCCATGATTATAAAAAAAATTATATTTTTTATGTTAAAAAAAGTTTTGGTTTAGGTCAAAATAGTCGTTATACATAGTTATGGTTGAGAAACCACCATAAAGACATCATATATTTTTATTATTTTCAACGTTGAAAGATTTGGACACTTGTTTAAACAAAAATCCGTTGCAAAATATTTAAAAACCATTTTTTTTAAACTTCAATGGAGTGTTAATTCGTTATTTATCCAATTTCCGGAAGTATAGGTTTTCCATTTCTGTAAAGCACCTTGAATGCCGTATATTTGCACGCTTATGAGGCACAAAGTGAAGACCAGTGTCTGCACCAAATTGAATTTCATGCTCGCATCAAATCGTATTCGAAAAAACAGAGGCACTATTATATTTAATATACAAAATTTTTCGCCGCCCTTGTGGCTATGGCTGAGGGCCAATTGAGACTGTCAAGGGGCATCCGTCATCGGTTACCTTTTTGTAAGCAACTCCACCGGGGGAATCTGTAAAAATTACCCGGAATCGGCTGCTTGTCGCCCGGTGTCGAACAACTCGTAGTGGTTAATTGAAGATTGTGGGGCTGACAAGCCGCTGAAGAACACAAGATGCCGATTACTGACGTAAATACACGAATAATTTCCCATGTTCCAGCCGCTACTGATGGCGAAAATGGTTTGCAGATGAAATTTGCCAAGTTTTTGCAAGGAAATAGTTATGAAATAAAGGGACCAATATTATTTAAATTTTGAAAAAGTGATTTACCTTAAAAACCAACTTAGAAATATAATAAAAACCAAAATATGTGGCTTACATTCTTACACACTCCTAATTTTTAAATAAAGAAAATTCTAAGCGCGCGTGTAAATTTTGAAATTCGAATTCGGCAGTGTTGCACAACGTGTCAAATGCAGGGTTGACAACTGGCCGCTGGGCAACTGTTAAATTTGAATTGCGTTGAATTTTAAGCGATTTCCTGTTCAGAAATGTGCAAAACTTGTCTTGGTAAATGGCAAGGCATCCCAACCAGTATCAGCGTTTATTAACCGCACTTTAGGCCCCCATTTGCACATAGCATTTATATTTATCTTGGTTTTTGATAGGGCGCTGGGGAATGGGACACAAAACAAGCAGCAAGAGTTGTCAACGTAGATTAAACATTTTAATTTCTGCGCTGACGCTAATCAGAACGGCGATTGCCCACCAGCAGAGAATTCAGAACTTTTGCCATTGTCATTAGGGGGCCACCAGCCCCCCACAGCACTGCAGCCCCCTCATTAACATAGTATATAATGTATTTAGAATTTCGTCTTCACTCGCTTTTATCGCACTGGCAATACTGGCCGTTTATGTGTGTGTGTGTGTGTGTGAGTTTGTGGGTGGTGGGGGGTATGATTATGCATAAAAACAAACAACAAGTAGCTGCAGCAACATATAGCGGTAAACGAACCCACACTTGGGCAAAGTGTACGTATGAAAACAAGTTTCAACGCCGCAAAAATCGTACAATTGGCCGCCATGGAGTTCATTAGCCAGTTCATACGACTGGCGAGCAGACGCGCCACCGGATTCAGTCCAATCCTGCAGAGAAATCGGACCACCGTCGTCCAAAAACAGTAAGGTTTTCTCGTTTTGTGGCAGCCACAACGAATGTCTATGTGTGCGTGTGTGTGGGTGGGTGGCTGGCGGGGCAGGGTTGCCACCCACATGCACAGTGATAACGTTGTTTTACACCTAGTCATATTTCATTGGTGAAATTTCACAACTGGCGAAGATTTGTAACCCATCGACAGGCACACAGCAGCATGGACACCACAATCCACTCCGCGGGCATTGGAGAGATCCATATGGTTCCGATGAGCGTCATCCAGAGACCCATACCCTCAGTTCTGGACGAGAAGAAGGTGCAATCCCTGATGGAGACCATTAAGGTGGGTGCCAGTACCTCGAATAAGATAGGGTACAGGGTACACGGAATGTAGATAAAGATAAGGTGAAAGGTGCAAAATATGTCTGTAAACCAAGAATTCGGATCTTAACTTTTAAATTTATAATGCAAGGATCATAGCTGATGTTATCTTGGGTAATCAAAAAGATATGAAACCTATTTTTAAAAATGTTTTAAATAGATATTTGTTTTATATTTTAAACTCATTCCAAGTTTAATTCGTGAATCTATGTAGCTTTGATAAAGTTCAATTAAAATAAGAGATATACATTTTAACCTAGTTTAATAGAATTGATTAACTTTTCCTCTAAGAACAAGTATTAATCTAGCATAAAATTGTTTTAATTAGAAGTGTTTCAAAAAATGTAAATTCTTATCTTAGTAGGAGAAAAGATACATATACTTATCGCACTCAAATAAGGTCGAGGCTACTAAAAATAGGTTCTTGGTTGTTTACCCGGTTACTTACTCCACTGGTTAGTCAACTGACTTTCACCTATCCTTTCTCCAGGGCGAAACTAGCGAGGACGAGGTACCCCCCATCGATCTGCTGTGGATCTCGGGTAGTGAGGGCGGCGACTACTACTTCAGCTTCGGCGGATGCCACCGGTTCGAGGCCTACAAACGGCTCCAGCGGGAAGCGATCAAGGCGAAGCTGGTGCGGTCCACTTTGGGGGACCTGTACCACTACATGGGCTCCAGTGCACCCAAGTACCTGGCCTGATCTTTGTACTCGAACGTCTGTTTTCTGTGTTCTATTTTTTATAGCAAATGCATTTTTCGTTAATTTTTTTGATAAGAAAGTCGTGTTTTACTTATCGCCGGATAAAGTTCGAATTTCACGGCCAAAGCAATGACTTTAGCTTTATTTTTTGTTTTTTGGCAGTCGTTAAATTTGCGTATATACTGCGCTTATCGCTGTACTCTAAATTTGTTTACCTAATCTCTGGTACAATACCATATAATTCCAAATATACAAACGAGCTCAACAAAAACAGGCTCAGAGGCCTGTTTTTATATTGCGTACTTTGTTGAAGTGCCTTAAAATAAACACATACTACTTTTAAACACATGAACCTTAGGTTTTCTTGAGGACAATCGCTTGTTATAAACGTCAATGCTTTGGTCGGCACTTTGCCTTACTGTTGGGGTCCTACAAACCTTGTACTTTTCGACTAAACGCTATGATTAACAATTACAAGTTCCCTAAACATATTCGAAATGCAATGGGGTGGGGTGGTGGAATCTCACCAGAGGAAGGGCGATCTCTCGCGGAGGATCCGTAGGCCATAACGCTGCCAGTCGTTCTGCGATATCCAAAGCTCACGGGCACTCTCCAACACGGACATAATGGCCGCTCCCTTCCACGCCACCATGCCCGCATCCATGCCCTTGGTGAAGACGTTCACCTCAGTGTCGGTGGGCTGCATCTGCTGGCTAATCTTATGCTCCAGCCAAGCGGCCAGGCCAGGCAGCTTGGCACTGCTGCCCACGAGCAGAATGGAGCCGAACATCTTGCGTTTCGTCTCGTAGCTGGACAGCCGGTTGATGGCTCGGATTACGGCCTGGTCGAGGGGCAACACCTGTCCCTGGCCGTTGTGGTAGCAGCCATTCGTATTCGGGTGCCCTCCAGCTGCGTGCGCTGCCTGCGGTGGCTGGCAGTTGCTGTTGGCTTCCTCCTGATCCACCACAATCAGCTCATCGTCGTCAGCAGTCACGGGCAGCTGGGGGCGTGGCTGAGATCCTGGGCCCATGGGCATTGTATCACCACCCTTTACCCCATTTTTCCGGCCCGTCTCCTTCAGATACTCCGCATCGAAACAGTCTTCGCAGTCGTACTGCTCCTGTGCCGCCAGTTGAGTGCATACCGCTCTCGTGCGGCCCGTGATGTTTAGGAGCTCGGTATGGAAGAGGGCAAGTGGTGCCATGATGGCTTCATCGCCCACCTGGATCGTGTAGCGCAGCCACTGGCCGTTCTGCTTGCGTAGGTTAAAGTGCTTCTCCTGGGCCCCACAAACGCTGGCATTCAGATGGCAAAACTTCTCCTTGAGCTCATCCAGCAGATGGGCATCCACATAACTTTCCTGGACATTGCACTCGCGATAGGGAAAACCGCACTTGCGCAGCAGCAGGAGGAGCACCTGGTCAAGGTCGCCGCCGCCATAGGGCAGTCTCACCCTCGCATCTAGCTGGGAAATGCCGTCCTCGATGCAGGCGATGGAGGTCTTCTGGGCGCCAATGTCCACCACACAGCCGTAACCAATGCCGGCGCCGTATGTGGAGGCCACGCTGTCCTGCACGAGGAAGCAGCGCCGGAAGCCCAAACGCTGCAGCAGCAGGGTCATGAACTCGCGCAGATGCCGCCGCACATACACATCGTTGACCACCAAAACTGCGCAGTGGGTTCCTAGTTCACGCAACGGGATCTTCAGACGGGCCTCCAGGGCGTAAGACCAGATGCGCTCCAAATGCTGAAGGCTGGCCTGCAAGAAGGGGGATTGTTAGTGAAGGACTAGGTTGAAGGGCGGTTACATGGGTTTCTCGGCAAGGTCTCACCTGTAGCGAGCCACCCTTCGCCTTGTGCACATTCAGTTCGCCCCTTTGCATAGGGAAATGGATGTCGTAGTCGCGGGCATCGAGGGCGCTGAGTCGCAGGATCCTGTCATCGAAGAGGACGGCTGCCTGGCGGTCCAGCCAGGGCTCCTCTGAAGGCTGGCCACTTGGCGCCGGCACCTTCTCGGCTTGGCTGCTGCGGTTAAAGTGGGCCAGCTGCTGCGGCGGCGTGGCCACGCGCAGGCGTTTCTTCTCATCGACGACACAGCAGTGCTGCAGGATGCGCGACACGGCCAGGCGCTGCTCCTCGAACTCCACCATTAGGGCGGTATTGACGTTGTCCAGCGGCGGCAGGAGGGGATCATGGTGCGGATGGTCGCCAGTCGCTGTCCGCTGTCGCCGCCGGTATGCCACCGCATGGAGAAGGGTCAGCGGATTCAAGTCGGCCGCCCTGCCGATCCTCAGGTGCTGCGATCCCGGATGGATTATGATGATCTTGGGCGCCTCCAGAGGATGTGCCTGCGGCTGGGGAAGTCCCATTGGCGGAGGAGCCGGCAGGCGGCCACTGCTGGTGCTGCTAGCACGGGATCGCCTAGAGAAGGGAGAGCACTGTAGCCAAGGCATTCTTCGATGTGCAATTTTACTCACTGCATCGTTCGCTGTCCGAATTTCGGATCGGATCCTGGAAAATGAAAACACCGGGAAACCGGGAAAACAACAACAGCAGTGTGTGACCGTTTCAAGACAATATAAAGACACCGAAAAATGGTAGTATTGCATAGTATTGTAGCATTTCGCATGCAAGGCTGGTCACACTACAGAGAACGTGGTTTATTCGTTAATGATCATTACCTTCTTAATTATCAGACCGATCGGAGACTACTTGTGAAATACGCCATTCCATTCCAGTTGAAACAAAATCCAAAACCGAAGACACTCGAAATTAATCAGTAATCAGTAAGGAATGTCGCACTTCACCTGCCTGAACTGCGATGCCCGCTTCGCCAGCGCGGATGTGCAGCGGGATCACTACAAGACCGACTGGCACCGCTACAACCTGAAGCGCAGGGTGGCCCAGCTGCCTCCGGTTACGGCCGAAGAGTTCCAGCAGCGCGTGCTGAGCGCCCGCAGCGCCACGGACGCAGCCCTCGAGGAGCAGAACCTGAGTGTCTACTGCCACGCCTGCAGGCGTCAGTTCGGTAGCCAGAAGGCCCACGACAATCACCTGAACAGCCGGAAGCACAAGGAGCTGCTGGCCCGCTACGAGCGGGATCAGATGGCCGCCAGTGGCGGCAGCGCCAGCACCACGACCTCCGTCTGCACGCGCAGCGTTGTGGAGCCACGCCCCCATCCCGCCCTGGTCGCCGCAGCCGCTGGCAAGGGTCGTCTGGCTTTCGCAGAGCGAGTGGCCAAGGCGGATGCGGATGAGGACGAGGAGATGGAAGACGTTGACGACGACGAATTTGAGGATATCGAGGAGGAGGAGGTAGGGGCACTACATCCCGCTTACAGGGAGCTTCATTTGGGTTTTAGCTTGACAGTGATTACAGACTATCCTTTTCCAAGTTATAACTTCACCAGAACTTTAAATATCACTAAATTATTAAATGGAATTTCCTCTTACAGATCGACTCCGATGAGTGGGACAAGATACCCGAGAATCCGCTGACAGAGCGGGACTGCCTGTTCTGCACACACGCCAGCGAGGATCTGGTTGAGAACCTCAAGCACATGTCCGTGGCTCACTCGTTCTTCATCCCCGACACCGAGTACTGCACCGACCTCGAGGGCCTGCTCTATTACCTGGGCGAGAAGGTGGCCAACTACTTCATCTGCCTGTTCTGCAATGATCGCGGCAAGACCTTTTACTCCTTGGACGCTGTGCGCAAGCACATGGTCGACAAGGGCCACTGCCAGATGCTGCACGAGGGCGTGGCCCTGGCCGAATACGCGGAGTACTACGACTACAGTAGCAGTTACCCGGACAATGTGAGTGATCCGCTGACACTATGTACTCCCGAAGATGACTCATCCTTTAACCTTTCCCTCTTGACCCACACAGAAAGAAGGCATGGATATTGACGACGAGGTGGTACCGGAACTGCTCGACGGCGATGAGTACCAGTTGGTGCTGCCTTCCGGCGCAGTCATTGGCCATCGGTCCCTGCTCCGCTACTACCGGCAGCACCTCCGGCCGGAACGCGCCGTGGTTATCCAGAAGTCCGACCGCAAGTTGCACCGTGTACTCAGCGAATACCGAGCTCTGGGATGGACGCATACCCAGCAGCTGTCCGCCGCCCGCAAGGCTCGGGACATCCATCTGATGAAGCGCGTGCAGTCCAAGTGGCAGATGAAGCTGGGCTGCAAGGCCAACAAGCTGCAGAAGCACTATCGTGCCCAAGTTCTGATGTAGACATCTAGCTAAAGCTAAAGGCTAGGCTATTGCCCCCGTGTACAATAAAAACAATTTAAGTTTTGCTTAAATTAAGCATATTTGTTTGCTTTCTATATTACTAGCGATTTCTCGTCAAATAAAATTACATAATTTAAATTAACAATTAAATAAAGTTTAATTTTGATTTGTTTATATAAAGTAAAGTTATGTCGTTACGGTTACAGCATACAATTAAACATTATAATTAGGCCAAAAAAAAAATAGGATCTAGCATGTAAAAAAAATAAACTCTGCAAAATCCTTCAAGTCGCCCACCCGGCATTCCCGCCTCAATCAATGGGGGCGTGGCCGGTGATGTGGGCGCGGCGGTGAGAGCGCGAAGTGACTATTCAGTAAAAACCGCAGGTGAGTGAGTTTTCTGTGTGTTTCGTGGGTGCTTGAGGGTCAATTTCAGCTAGTTAATGTTAATGTATTTATAGTTTCGGTATGCTTCTGTGGTTCAAATCGGGTGCCTTCTCTCTAAGGCAAAGCCCCCAAGGCCCGATTTTCTGTCCTTATGGTAGGTCGAAAGTGGGTTTTGAACTGCACAAACTTCACAGTTTGAAACCTACTTTAAGCCTACCACAGAATGGAAAAGAAGGGGCCCAAGTGTGCTGGCTTTTGCTAACGAAATGGTTTTATAAGTAGCTAGTCTTCTTTAATTTCTCCCCTGAAAAAATCCGTTTTAAAGGTGTTAAAATTTTCTTAGTCCATCTAAATGTGATTTTCAAACTTAATGTCAAGTTAAATTTCGCTTAAATCAATTTTTTCACAATAAACTATATTTTCAATCGTTTTGAACTCCTATACGTATGACAATAAAAAACATATTCTTTACAACCGTATACATGTGTAATAATTACAATTTAATAAGAACTCTGAACCAAAATTACGAAAGTAGATTTGTTTTTAAATTCGGTAAAACAAATAGTACAAAAACCAAACATTTTTAACACATTGGAATACATTTGGGGCAGCGGTTGGCAGCGTACCATTAATCAGACTTGGGGAACAGCCTTGCTTGATATCTGCCGCAACACGTACAGTGAAAAACACCCACATGGACGAACTGCTTAGTGCAAATTGCACACAAAAATGATTTTAAGAGAAGGCTGGCATGGTGAACCACTATTAATGATCAACATATTTTAAACATTCAAACAATCATAACAATTTAATGAATGCCCGTAAGACAAATCTGTTCATAAATAAATAAGAAAAAAAAAAGAAACTTCTACATATGATGTACCTGGCATTACCCCTGAAATAAAACTCCCGATTTGAAACCACATAGAGCACTGCTGCGCTGGTGATTCTGTGGTTCCTGGTTTGGGCGGTGGTGGTGGCGGTGCAATAAATAGCAGCAGAGAGCGGCAAAGGGTGTGAAAATAAAAGTATATTAAGCGGGCAACTAACGTTCGGTCGCTTTTCCAGTTTACGCTAATGTATAACTACAGGATTCTGTTGAACACAAACGCCAACCATGGGCGACGACGAGGAGGCATCGCTGCTGCTGGCTCCGGTGGCCGAGTTGCTGCCACCGCCGGCATTTTGAGAGATGCCCACCTGGGAGGCGGGTCCGCTGATGTGCCGTCTTTGTCCAACGACGCCGACTCCCACACCCACTACTCCAGATCCTCCTCCACCGGATGCCGAGGAGGATGACGACGACGAAGAGGGCGGCAGTTGCAGGGGCATTGACATGGGCAGTGGCAGCGGCAGCGGCAGTGGCGGCAATGGCAGCGGCAGCTCGCTCAGTGAGGCGGGCGCCGTTCCATAGAGCGTTCCGGCGGGCTGAGATGGAAAGAGAAAGGCGGCAGCCGATGGCGGCACCTGATTCGGTCCGGGATTTCCACCGCCCTGACCGCCACCCGCCGCCGAGGCGCTGATCACACTCGAATCGGTCATCATGAGGTGAGAGGCCGCAGCAGCAGCAGCCGCCGCAGCCGCAGCCACCGACGAGGATGACATGTTGCCGTAGTAGGGCCCCGAGATGGGCGCATAGCTGTTCGGCTGCAGCTGCAAGATCGCCGGCACCCGCATCCTTCCCCCATGGCCGTTCGGCGGCGGTGGCGGCATCTGGGGCATCTGTGGCGGATCACATTCCATGGCGTGCGGATAGCTGATGCTGTTGTGGTTGCTGCTGCTGCTGTTGTGGTGACCCACCGCGCCCACCATGTTGCCGCCGTAGAGGCGGTTGTGAAGCGTACTTTTGCTGCTGCTGCCGGGACTGATGTGATTCAGGCTGCCCAGGCTGTTGCTGCTGTGATGGCTGTTGGCCAGCGATGGCGGCGGATGGGCGGTGGGCTGCAGGCTCAGAGCGGAGAAGTTGTTCATCGCCGCCGAATGCATTAGCAGGCCTGTAAGATCAACAAGGATTCAGTTTTGGATGCATTTTATATTCTTAAATTGTCTTTTTTTTTAGAAAACCCATAGCCATCCTTGGAAAATGCTAAGCTTATTTGCCTTGTTACTCAGAAATTCAGTTGGTTTGAAAATCTGTACATTTTTTGCTGACATAATAAGAAGTGCACAACCAAATATTTGGTGTACATTTGAAAATCGTAAAAAAATGTAAATAAAATATGTATTAAAGTAGTTGTATTAAGAAAATACAAATCTTATACATATTTTTTTCTTTAAATTTATATAGCGTTATTAAAAGCAAACAAGCTCATCAAATTTTCTAAGGATTATAAATAAAGACCAACAATTCCGTCCCCGACATACATTAAAGTTTCCTTAACCCATGCTTTTTGTTGATTATATCATAAGTTTTTATTGAAGATTTTTTTTTCACTTTTTTTGTAAGTTTTGTCTTTTGCTTTAGTTTTTTTTATGAATTCCTTTTTCTGGTTTGGTTTTGGTAAAGTTTCCATTTCGGTTTCATTAATCGTTAATAAATTATCTCGTACTTATTCAACTTAAACCATCAGCTGTTGTATGTTTATATTATATAAATGCCACATATGTTGCATGTCCATATGTGTGTCGGTTTGTCGGTTGTGTATGTGTGAGTGCTTTTCGTGTTTTTTTTTTTAATTTGGTTTAAATTTGAATTTTCATATTTTTGCAATACTGTTTTGTAAAAAAAAATGCATTATGGTTCCCCGACTTTTCCCACTTCGTTTTTGCTTTCTTTACCGCTTTCATTCCAAAATGCAACTCTGCTTAAATAACAATTGGTTATCGTTATCATTGCAGTTATCGTCATTATTGCATATTTTCGCCATCCTATGTGTTTGTGGTGTACGAGTGTGCATGTATGGTTTGGTGACTTTTAATCTTATTCGACCTATAACACTCGCTTTTCGGGCTTTAGTATTTTACACAAGTTTCGTTAAGTGTCTCTCCGGTTGCTGTTAAATTCATGGATCAAGGATCATTTTCTTTTGGGGCTAACCTCTAATTTTAATAAATATTTACTTTATATGTATTTCGTATCCGTTTGTCTGTCTGCGTTTTGGTTTGTGTCTAATAAAATTAATTGAGTTTTCCGCATAATTACTTGTAAGTGTTTATATATAGATGTATGTTAATTTATTAAATGCTAAAGTTCTTCTCTTTAGTACGTACTGATTTAATTTGTTATGCTTGCTATACGATTTCATTAGTTTTCTTATTTACTTTTTGTGGTTTACTAAACGCATTCATTTCTTTACCAATTCTTTGTTTTTTCTGCTATTTTTACATGCCTACGACTTTATACTTTTTACAAACTATGATTTGTGTTTGGTTTTTACTCGTATTTCGCATATTTGTCGCACTATCGATACTTATCGCATTTTGTTTATCGGTTATCGCTTATCAATCATTCCAATTAAAACTGTTATGTATATATTTATATATTTACCGCTGCTTTATTTCTGAGAGTGTGTTTGTATTACCTTTGTTATTTAACATTTCTACCTGTTTTCTTTTTTATTTTTAACAAGGCCCGAACTTTTTGAAGATATAGGCATGGCTAAGATTTTAGAAAGTTAAATATTCTTAGCGGTTTTGTATCACAAAAGAAAGCGGCTATCGCTTGCTTCCTCGCTCTCCTTCTTCTCCGAGGTTTCGTTACACGAAATCCCTGTAAATTCCCAAAAGATTGAGAAAGAGAGCGGGAAAGCTCGGTTCAGTTAACCCTTAATGCCAATAAAGTGTTTTACCACTACCATAGAAGTGATCGTAAAAGCAAACATAATGCATTATTAATGGGGGCTAAATACTATTTATATAGTCATTAAAAATGAATTTTTGACAGTGAACAATTCGGCATTAATTTTAAGTTTTAAGAAAAGGTTTTGCAACCAGATCCCTTAATGACTATTCGTTTCCAAAACTCTTTTAATGCATAAAATGATAGAAACACATGTTCTTTAAAAAAAAAAATTTGAAAATAACCATTATTATTTGCTTTTACCCCACTTTAAGCAAAGGCAAAGGATCCAAATTAAGGGACAAAAAAAGATGTATTTATGTCTATGTTACAAACTGGGGGTTTTCCATTAAGTTCACTTTTAATTACTTGACTCTTGTTTATGTACTTTGGTTTACTAAACGTCTTATTTTCTTCGAGTGAATTTTGTTTCGTTTTTACATGTCTACGATTTTCATTTTGGATTTATACTTTTTACAAACTATGATTTGTGTTTCGTATTTCGCATATTTCACTGAGATCCATTATCGCTTTTTCAAATGTTTAATTTTCGTCTTTAGCACTTAATCTGGTTTTTCAATTGCAAACAGCAGGGTCGTGTATTTCGATTACGGAAACTGTGAGGAATGTGTACAAATATGGTTTTAAGAAAGATCACTTTCTGTTCCTTATAATAATGACTGTAATTACCCAATTAAAAATATGTTCTGTGAAATGTAATCATTGAAATTAACATACTTATATCATTGCCTACTTTTTGACACCTTAAGTGGCGAGCTCATATCAGTAACAAATTTCCATGAAACCCTTAACCATTTTAGGTGCACAAAAATCTATAGTTCAGTTTAAAATATTTGTAGAATACTTACAAAATCAAAAATTAAAAATCTATTCAAATTACTTGAACAAGAATCAGTGCATTCTAATATTTAAGGAAAAGAGAACAATTCTTTCCAGTCACGGAACAATTTATACATTCGTATTCCTACAAGATCCCCTGCTGCTGTTCGCTGATTTCTCTCAGTGTCGTTTTACTCGAATGTACCTGTACTTACTTATGCATATATGTATGTTTATTAAGATGTATGTATATATGTATGGCAGTCATTAAGAAAGTCGTTAAGGATTCCTCTTATTATTACTCTTATGAATTCGCAAACTCTTCGTTCAATTCTATGACACTAAATGCCTAAACTTAAGTTATTAATTCTTAGACATTTTCTGCGTAATTTAAGTTGACAAAAAAACATCAAACACTTAACACACGATTGTATCTTCATCCGAGCGCTTAAAATGCGTGAGCATAATACAAATTACATATTAAATTCTAAAAAAAAAATTATGATTTATGGAAATCAGTGAAGGCGCCACATTCATTTCTTATAGGAAAAACAAATATCTGTAGTGTTTTCTAGTGGCGTTTGAGACAGAGATAGACAGAGACGGAGAGAGACGGGAAAGAGATAGACAGTGAATGAACGGTGAAATGTTTATTTACAAAACGCCGGATCTGTTAGATAATGGATATTTAGATAGATAACATGACCAGCGGATCACCGGACTGCAAGTGATGCAGCCGCTTCTAATGTTGCTCGTTGCACGTTGCATATTGCGTGTTGCTGGTTGCTGGTTACTGGTTACTGTTGTGGCATCCTTGAAGTTGCCGCTGCAGTTGATGATGTTGCTGCTGCTGCTGTTGCTGCCGCAGATGTGGCTGCTGCTGCTGCTGCTGTTGCCGGTCATCGGCGATCATCTGCTGCCATCGTTTGCATTTGCATTGGTTTTATTTGATTTATATTTTTGGTGGTCGAGTTCAAAAGATCGAGCAGTTCGAATAGAAAAAGAAAGGAATTTATCTTTATATTGTTGGGACCACAATCATTGCTCGTTCTTGCTTTGCTACTTTTCACAAACTTTAGTTTCGTACAACTAATTAATTTAGCACTAAGCGCCGAACTAAAGATAAAACGAAACACTTCTTACATTTAAGGGTGACTAGTGCAACTAAATGGTAATTATTAAATATTAGATACAAAATCATAATTGCCTAATACAAACATATAATCAAGTACAAATTTCTTCACATAATAATTCTAATATCTAAATTATAAATGCTTTTCGATTGCACACACACGAAACACACACGAAATTCAACAAATGACGATTGCGATCATGCCTCAAGCATGAGCACAGTCTTCACTCGCTGCGAACTACAACACATAACTCGGAGCTTTTACATCAAATCAGCTCGCGCAAAATTATAAACATAATCAACAAACACAAAATTCTATGGGACAGCGGCTACAAACTGTGAGCGGTTAATCGTATCGATTTTAAAACCAAGGTTCCAATGTAATCTTTGGACTATGCCAACTTTTAGTGAAGTTATTTAAAACAAAATCAAAATATGTGCCAAAAAAAATTTAAATTAGTGTTATTTACATATTGTCACATCAAAAATTATTAAATACTTTGATTTGACTTTAAACTTTTCTAGATCTTTAATTTATTATGCGAATTCGACTGAAAGAAGAAGTTCTTTCTTGATTCTAAATAAATATACTGTTCCAAAAATAGACCTCAGATTACATAGAAACCTTTGGATGCCTTAAAACCGAGCCGCTAACCAAGCTTTGGGGATTGGTTCTAGGTGGGACGTTCAACTACTACTCACCGTGACACTGGGCATCTGAAGCACCGCCAGGACCCGCGAGTGGTGGCAACGGCAGTGGCAGCGGCAGGGGCAAGGGCAGTGGCATCGCCTGCTGTTGCTGCGCTGCGGAGGATCCGCCGCCGACACCCGACCCCGAGCCGGATGATCCGGCGGCCGTGGCCGCTGCTGTCGCCGCCGTCGGTGCCGCTGCACTGGATGAGGAGACCGCACCGCTACTGCTGCTGCTCGTTCCCAGGCCACCACCGCCTCCGCCACTGGATCCTCCTGCTCCGCTGGATCCGGAGCCACCGGCTCCTGCGTTCGCTGTGGCGCCCGCGCCGCTCGTGTTGGTCGCCTCATCGGCCGTGCGCTTAAAGAAATTGTGCTGCAGGGCATAATAGGGCGTGACCCGTGTCTTGGGGTCAAAGTCGAGCATGCGCAGGATCAGATCCTTGAACTTTAGATAGTCCGAGACGGAGTGACCCGGCTCATCGAGACGCCTGCCCCCCGGACCGCCTGTTTCCACGCCAAGGATGTCGTGCAGCTTGCGGGATCCCGGCGGCTTGTACTTCCTCCCGTTCTGATTCTTCTTAAGCACATAGGAGCCATCGGCCACGATCTTATCAAAGAATTTGCGGGTCTTGTGCGCCTGGTCGAGTAGATATTTCGGCGGCATGCCCAGCACCTCGACGATCTTGTTCATCTGATCAACCTCGTTGCAGCCGGAGAAGAGCGGCTCGCCGGTGTGCATCTCGACTAGGATGCAGCCCAGGGACCACATGTCGATGGCCAGGTCATATTGGATGCCCAGAAGCACCTCCGGCGAGCGGTAAAAGCGCGACTGGATGTAGTGGTAGATCTATGGGGCGGGATTGAATGTTTAATTTGTCTAGTTTCCAGTCAAGCCAACCAACTTACCCGCTGTCCCAGCTGACAGGAGCTGCCAAAGTCAACGATCTTGATCGCCGAACGCTTCGGGTTACACAGCAGGATGTTCTCAGGCTTCAAATCACAGTGAATAATGTTCAGTTCGGGGGTGCTGAGGAAGAGCAGTGCGGTGCACAGCTGCTGGGCGAACTTGCGCGTGAGGTTCAGCGAAACGCCCCGGAAGTTGGTGTTCCGCAGCAAATCGTACAGGTTGTATGAGAGCAGCTCGAACACCAGGCACAGGTGATTGCGCCACATAAAGTGCCGCTTGAGCTTAACTGCAATGGATTATATTATATATTTATATAGTTATATTTTTTTTTTATTATCTTTGGGAATACGAACCGATGTAGTATTTGTTTTCGGCATCCGCCCGGTTCATCATCTCGAGTAGCTTAACCTCGATCTGTGCCTGGTTTAGGAACGGTTTCTTATTTTTAATTATCTTGATCGCCACGTGGCACTGCTCCTCGTGGTCGTAAGCCTTCACCACCTGGCCAAAACTGCCTTTGCCTGTGCGGGATTAAAGAAATAACTCAATGAGTATATGACGTTTCTTATGATATCATTTTCCCACTCACCGATCAGCGAGTCTATCTCGTAGCGATCCAAAAACTTTTCGCCATTCTTGATTATATAGTCGTGATTATCGTCGTCATAGCCATCGTTATACAGCTTTCGCTCCTTTTTGTTGGACGAGTCGTCTTCTCCTTGCGTCTGCTGGGCACGGCGTTTCTTTTTCGCATAGTAAACCTAAAATTAAGAGATTTCAAAGTTAGTTTTCGACCATACATTGATTATTTTACAAGGTGTAAACGAGCTTTTAGACAAATCGTATGCTTTAGTTTTCAAAACAATCGTAAATACACGTAAATACATACAAGTTTCAAAAATATTTATCTAATAACTATAAATATATATATTTATTTTTTCTTTACTATAAATATCAAAACGTTTCTGGCTTATTGTAATTGTCAGACCATTATATAATTTACTGTAACATAAATATTTTAGCTAATGAAAAAAAAAATAATAAAATGCACAAGTGATAATTTTTTAAAATTATTTCTGTCGGGCATCCCCACCTGATTGGAGATAAGAGTAACTACATATGCATGTTAAAAAAAATCGATCAATGTCGATCGATAATTTACAAAAATGCATATATGTATGTATGCAGGATATGTTTTCCAACCCTACATCTGTATTGAGTAATAAGAAAATATTATATTGCATCAAATTGCAGGTGCTAACATAATTGAATTTTATTGGCCAGCTGAAAGTTATCCCGTTACTTCCACTTCATCAACGACAAATGTAAACATAAAATGGGAAAATGAGAAAATAGCGAAAATGCGATGAGAGACAAGACCGGCAAAAAAAAAAAACGAAAGAGGGCGACGCCGAGCAGGAAAAAATGAGAAAATGCTCTCTCCATTTTATCCGCTCTCTCTCACACTCCAGTCTCTCTCACGCTCCCCTATCTTGTTGGGGAAGGGGGGAAAAGGCTGCAGCTTGGCGAAAAAAGTTGTTGCTAACGCGGCAAGTTGGCGGTGGAGCGAGCGAGATAGCGCCACATAACGAGAGAAAGAGCGAGAGCCCCACTCTCCGGAAAACGAAAACTGTAGCATACAAAACGGCAGCGAAAAGGCATTTGCAATATTACGGCATCTCTAACGGCACAAAATGACAACTGCAAATGTAACTGTAACGTCTGTCAAAAACACTCCAACTGCTTGAGAGCACCTGTCAAACTCAAATACCTGCACCTGCAACCAACCGCATCCGCAACGCCAGCTGTCAAATCAGTTAACTGCAATACTCTTATTTACCAACATCAATATGTTCGGCTTTAAATCGCCAATAAGGCTGGAATATTGCAATTTAAAAAAAAAACAATAAAGTTTTTACCACATATTATGGGTTTAGAATTAAATACAATTTTAAAACTTTGTGTTCTGAACAGCGGAATAAAAGGTTGAAACTCAAAATGTACAGAAAAAAACATTTTTAAAGAGCATTTTACATAATACAAAAAGTTTTATGTTCCCTTCTCCCATAAAAGTTGTTTCGTTTCATGACTTGCCCTTCATATCATATCGATTAAGACAAAAAGTTAGGATTGTAACTTATGTATGTACAATGTACATATGTTGTATTTCCAGAATATTCAACTTTGTGCTCTCTTCTTGGGGTCTTCCACGGACCCATCTAGAATTCTTCGGGCTGCGTGAAATATTAACATTCTAATGTGACATAGGACAATCACCCCGCTACTCATGGCGTATAATCACCGATTTAGGTCGGCGGCATTTCGTCATAACGTCATTTGACAGTTTCCAAGAGAGCCAAAAGTATTAAGTTATTCGGGGACGCTTGCTTGGAACTTAGGAACTTGGCAGGAGCACCGAGACAGTTGCGTGCCTGGCTTTCATTGCTTATTTGTCCTCTTTATATTTTTGGTTGGCTGTTGTCAACCGAGGCGGCAACGACGTCAATCGAAGTCAACTGCGAATGGGCTAGGGCGGTGTGGGAATTGACCCCCCAAGCGGGTCAAGGACAAACGTATCTTTAGCTCAGCTCAACGCCACAAATATCCGCTGTCAGCAGATAGTCACACAACAAAAAAAAAAAAAGAAAACCACAAGACAAGAAAAAACCCCGACGAAATTCCGATCGTCATAAGAGCGTGAAAAAAAGAAAAGCGGGATGGATGCCAAGGTTCTACGGTAGTTTCGCAGCAAAAAACAATGGTATCTGTTCGATTGCTAACTGATTTACTTTGCACTGTATATCTACTATCTTCATAAAATATGTGAATACAATTCGTAAAAAATAGCTTAGATTAGTTGAAGAACCCCTTCTGCAATTAATTTGATTATGATGCGATATATCGAATTCCATATTACATATGTCTATACAGGCGCGGATCCACGGGGGATACGGTGGATAGATACCCCACTCGGGTAAAAAAAATATATGTATTTTATTCCAAATTTTGTATTTCTACTCAACAAATTTTTTTTATATCCCCCACAACCAAATTCTGGATCCGCCACTGTGTGTATGTATGATTGATATTAAGCAGTATAATATCAACTTGTACATCAACCCATTAGGTTATTAGTTGCTGATAAAAGGTATTACGCCTAAGAAAAACCCTTTCTATTACATTGAAAATGTCATCTTGATATGCACTTAGATAGCAATTTTGATTCGTCAAAAGAAACGTTAAAACTTAGGATGGATAACTAACTAAATGTGATCCTTTTTTTTTTGTGTGCGGGTTATTAATTTTTTTGGGAAGGTAACACTCACCTCGTTGATGTGCTTGTAGGTTTTTATCAGTTCGACACTCAGCTTGCGCAAAGGTCCCAAGGATGGGTCCCGAAAGTGGGTGGGAATACGGGCCTGCATGGCGCGCACCTCCGACGAAGACGAGGGACTAGAGTGCTGTGAATAAAATGTAAAAATCATTATTGTAAATAATAATTTGTGTTATAAACTTATTAAGGGTGACATTGACCACTGGCCTATTGACCCTAAACGAGATCTAAATACAATGCGCAGTATAACTTCCTGAAACCCAACTTTTCTAACTTAGAGGACTTTTAAATCAAGCCAGTTTTATTAAAGTTATATGTATTGAAACCTTTTTAAATTGAATGCTCAAAGTATAGCAAGCAATCTCCTTTTTAGACCATCCAAAGTGGTTAAGAATTCTTCATTTTTAAATTTCAATGTCTAAGGTGTCATGTAAAGTACATTCTTTGAACAATCGAAAAAGTCACTATCGGTATTGATGTAACTACGGTTGTTGCCAAAATGACACTTCTTAGGGTCAAATAAGATTTTTCATATAACGAAGTATACTTTAGAATCCTTTTTAGGATCAAATTGATCAACCACACTTATTAAATTGACACTGAATGATTTTTTTTTGGGTGCATACATATGAGGCGTTTAAATTGCCATACTTGCTGATGGTAAAACCAGTTGTTAAGAAACCTTTCTTTTGCGAGTTCTTCAAAAGAAACCATTAACCTTTCTAATTGCAACTTATAACTTAACTGGAGCATGGGAAAACATTCATTCACCATTTACATTTCTTTAATGTTTCTTAACCCTTTTACTTTTCATAATTGTTAGTAATATTTTTAGTTTGCGCAAACTTTACTTCGTCAACCCTATTTTGAATGTTCTTTAAAATGATATTGTTTTCGGATATAGTTGGTATATGATATAGTACTCACATGGTGCATAACATCCCGGTGTGTGGCAGGCAGGTCCTCTTCGACGACGAAGCGTCCATAGAGGGGGGCGTGGCGCTGTCTTCCGCCCCCGCTTCCGCTGCCTTGAGCTGCGTCGACGGCGACGCTGCCCCCGCCGGACCCATAGGCGGATACTAGAGTGAAAGAGAGAAGAGAGAGATATTATCAGATATTGGCGGAAATAATATATGAACTTGGGTAGATGATATGTGGTTTCTGTATTTGTTTGGTAGTGTTTCTTTTTGTGCTGGTTCATTGACCGGATCGCTCGGACACCGCTCTTCTGCAAGAATGCACCTGTTTCTCGCACACCTGACTACGTCAGTGCCGAGAGTTGCCAAAACGATGATAAACAGAAAGGGAAGAGAGGAGAACAAATACACGGAGGGAAAAACCATGATAATTTCCATGATTATGATTTGTAAAAGAATCATTCAATCTTTTACTTATTTTATAGCTTAAAGATACCTAAGCTCTGGTACTAAGCAAATCTTAAAGACAGCAAAACTAGGATACACAGAACGGAAAATCCAATACATGTAAGTAACTCAATCTGTAAATCAATCTTTATAACATTTATTCAATTTATTTTCAAGACAATTTCAACTGGAATTAAACCATTTTCCCTGTGCAGATGGGATAGTCAGAAGAAGAGTCACCGTTGAAGAAAGAAGCTCTACCTTAATTTTAGAACCAGACGGAACTGAAATTATTACACAATATGCAGGCGCAGATACATAATTCTGCCGTTTCTTGGTTCTATTTCCCATGCTTCTATGACCATTTCACTTGCTCACTTTTTTGTTTTGCTTTTTCTTAACTTGTGCAACGAAAATAGCACCAACGATATAAACAAGACACCACGAAAATAAAACGGCGAAGGGGTTGAGGGGTTTTAAGGGGTCTTAAGGGGTCTGTGTTTAATGTTAAACCCAAGCTAAAAGATATTCTATTACATCAACATTTCCGAAAAACAGGTGATGACAGAAACTCGGTAAGAAAAAATCGTTTTGAGAATTAAGATTGATTGATCATGGTTACAAAAAATAAAAATTGTTTAGATATCAGTTAGAAAACGTATCATTTCATTGTTCATTCAATCGTGAAAGTGATTCCATTCAAGAGGAAATAAGTGGCAAACAAAATATGGATGATATTCAAGATGAACAGCTGCCTTTGTTTATGATATTGGGTTTTCATAAACATTACCTGGTGAATAATTTAACTATTACAACATAACAATAATAAAATTTTGATAAAATGTTTACTCTTGGAAAAAAAGTTTTTTACAGAACCTATCTAAACAATTGGCCTGGTGGAAAATTATGATCAAAACGTGACACTTAAGGAAGATTTACAACCACAATCCTGCGGTTTATATCATTAGTGATGTTGGTTCCTAAACCCTATTGGTATAGATCCCTTTTTTGTGACTTACTAGCATCGACCTGATCCGCATTCACATCCACAGTGCTCCAAGCACTTTTGGGCTGGAATTTTGAGATGATTTGATGGCCATCGCCATCGCCAGCACCAGCGCCATCGCCAGCGCCATCGCCATCGCCGTCCACCTCCTGATTGCCATTTGTTGGCCAATTTCTGACACGATGCTGGCAGTCAATTTGCGCCGAATAATTGATGTAATGAGGCGGATGATGGTGATTGTGATGGCTACTGCCATTGCCGTTGTTCAAGCTGTTGGTGGTGGTGGTGCCACTGAAGCCACTGCGACCAGGTGGCACTGATATGGGATCCATGAAAAATGGTTTCCAATCCTCGGTGGCCTTGTCTTTCGCATGGCCACCGTTTGTCGGCTGCCAAGGAACGGGAGCCGGCGACATATTATGCGACTTTTTCACTCGCACTTCCTCTTTACTTGTTTTGTAATATATAGGTGATTTATTAATTTATTTAAGATCCAGATGAGTTAGCACTTTAGAAGCGTGCGACCTGCGTCGAGTGAAAATTCAGCGCAAACTGACAGGGGTTTTTTATTTCCCTGTCACCAACCAATGTTGCCACCTCTCGTCGTTTTTGTCGTCTGTTTTATTTATACGGAACCGTGTTTTCTGGCTCTGCTCTTTTAGTTTATTTTTTGTGTGTTTTTGCACTTTTTTTCTGCAATTCGGCGGTTGCAACGATGATCACGCTCTCGGGGTGATAATGATAATGAAGATGCAGGGGGTTGCCCGGCGAGGTCTTTCGTCGGAATGTGTTCTGTTTGCACTAGGCACATTCAGTGTTGTAGAATCTAGAGTGAAATTTTACAACATCCAAAAATTCCGATTATAATCGTATATTGTCACGGCAAACAAATCATCTTTTATCGCAATTGGTTCCGTTCACACTAGGCATTTTCAGTGTTGTACAATCCTGAGTAGAATTGCACAAAATTATCCAATAATTTCAATATTAATCGCACGTTCAGAGTTGTACAATCTTGAGAGAAGATTTATTTATTTTTTTATGCAACAATTCCGGTAATAATCGTATATTGTCACCGCAAACAAAATTCATTTGGCATTGGAATTTGATCTGTTCACACTAGGCATTTTCAGTGTTGTACGATCCTGAGTTAAATTGTACAACATTATCCTATCATTTCGATGTTAATCGTATATTGTCAGGGTAAGCACAATTTATTTGTTCTGTTTACACTAGGCATTTTAGTGTTGTACAATATTGAGTGAAATTGTACAATTCCGATAATAAGTAAAAGGTACAATTGTTTAGAAGTTAAAAGTACGGTTAAAATCATTCTACAACCTTAACATTGAGTGACTAATGGAAAATTCGTGGAAATTATTTGTTATCTTAGGTGTTTCCTATATCATTGCTGATCAAAAGCGCACCACTGCCTGGCCTTTTGTTTTTTATTGAAACTGTTTTTTTTTTTGGAGTGAAAGGGGGAGTTCCGCTTTTCGTAGATAATGGAATTTCAATAATGACATGTAGCGGAGTGAAGTAGAACAGAGTGGGGGAAATGCGGGGAAAGTGGGTGGTTGTAGGTGGGAAAGTGTTCGCACTTGTCTCGTGCACGTCGAGATACAGATACAGATATATTCATTTCTTTGTTTCGGCTTTTGCGTCTTCGACAAGTCAAGGAAATCAAAACAAAGCAAACGAAATGTGAAATTAAAATAAAATGTAATTAACCCCAGGCAAAAAGTGTGCGCATAATGCAGTGCGTTACAAAATTGTATAACTGGTTGAGCTGTCTCTTAAAGAATAAGAGATAAAATTGGGGTATAGTTACAGAAACTAAAAAGGTTTACAAATGAGGACGATTTCTCAAAAATAAGTCTGAAATAAAATAGATATATACTTTATACAAGAATGCACAAAAAATAGTATTCTTTAAAGTTATGTAAAATGCTGCCTACACACGTCAATACTAGATTTGGTTTTACCATTTCTCCGAACCAATTATAAAATTATTTGCTCTTATAAATAAATTGAACGCTTGCCAATCGATGGAAGAGTTGAATGATAAATGAGTTTGGGGCCCCTCAAAAATTCGGTGGAGAGCGAACAGCAGCCCCTCTATTTATAGAGATCCTCCGATCCTCCGTCTCTAATGTAGGATTTCCCCCTGTTCTGATGTTAGGCTGTCTGACGCGTCTCGTACGAAAATAAAAATAGTTGACGACATTTTGCGTTCGTTCCTCGTCTTTTGGCCACTTGCATTTTGGCCCAGGGATGGGGGATCGGGGGCATTATAAACAACGTCCAGCGATAATTACATATGGAAAGGGGGACGGACAACGAATGGCGATAGCGAGGGCATCCAGAGCAGGTGAGTCACGGACCCGTTGAAAAAGGTAATGTCATGAATTGCACTTACTTGTGGCCATCCACTTGACAAGTTAATAAACAGATGGCGCCAGGCTAATCAGATACCAAAGTCCCGGTTCCCCGTAACCCAACATATTTGACAAATAATGGGGAAGTCCCCATACGGAGTCACGGGTTTTCCAAATACTACGGATTGGGACAAGTACATACGGAGGACAGTTGAGTGATAAGCAAACAGTTGACACACTATTTGCTGGATGAATGAAGTGACATTGTTGCATTTCTCGCGAACAGGAAAAACCGGAAAATAGGTGGGTGCTGTTTGCACCTCCTAAAGTACTTCAATCTTAAAATTTTCACCTGATATTGGCTAATCTTTGTCATTAGTAAACAAAGTAATATTTGACTTGGTTATTTCAAACGTAAATAAAACAGTATCATTCTTGTAACCCATTGCTGACAGGAATAAAAAATGATAAGCCAGGTATGTTTTCGATAAAAGGTTCAAAAAGATCTCCGAAGATTTATAAACCGTAAGTTTGGAATTTATATATGCAGTTAAAAATTTCTCGTTTCGGCATAAAGTTTTGAACTAATTGGTTAGCAACTGTCAAAACTAATGTAACAAAAATTTAAAATATGATATAATCTTCTAAATTTTGTCACGTTATAATAATGAAATATTAAATATAAATATATAAAAGTAAAATAATTGCTTTAGAACGATTAATAAAACATTCGGAGGGGTTCGAGCGATTCGATCTTCTGCTTTTAAAAGTGATATCATTTTTACATCCAAAGCAGATACTCACGTTTCTGTTTGTTCTTATCCATAACGCCGCCGCTATTCGTATCCTCTAATCTATACATGGGGCTGATGTTTGTTGGTTTCGCGCTGAATAATGAATCGTTACTTGGGTTGGTTTACTCCTATATTTAAGTCTATATGTACTTGACATATATATACTTGTGTTTATATAAATATATATAAATGTATATATATATTGCGTTATTTGTTCATGCGATTTGGTTAGATTGTTGAAATTGTATTTTTTATGTATCTTTACGTCTGATTTTGGTAACTTGTGATTTTGTTTTCTATAAATTAAGTAGTTTTTTTGTGTATTTTGTATTCTTTTCGTTATCCTTTGTGTCGTTGTTGTTGCATTTTATTTTATTAAATTTTTTCGTGTGTACCAGTTAATATTTATATTTATGTGATTTTGTATAATATATATTTTGCCGTATATATTTTTATGGGGTCGAATACTTTTTGTTGTTTTTGTTTAAGATTATGAACACAAGTTTTAAGTCTTTTGTTGAATTTGCTTTACCGTTTATTTGCGTTTATGAATTATGGATACATTATTTGTTGCAGTGTAAAATGTCAAACATTTATGAAACAAACAAAACAAAAACACGTTTCTCCTCCTCCTCTTTTTTGTTGTTGTTGTTATTGTTGTTATTGCTCTTTCCGTTTATTTACCGTTTAGCATTGCAATTACACACACTCCCACACAACGGGAGCGTGTGTGTGTGCTCTAATGAAAACAAAACACACACACACACACACACAGACGCACGCGGGAAATCTGAGAAGAAAGCAAAAGCTATTGCGATCTGGCTTTCCTCTGCGTTTTTTTTTTGGTTGATTTATATACCCTGGCAGAGAGGGTATAATTTTATGTTGTATTTTATCGATTTCTTTTCTATATACCTTATCGATTTTCTCAAGTTAGTGAAGTTTTGGTTTTATGGTAATTTTTGGCCACCGCTATTATCAACATTTTGCTTAAACATTTCTTCAGCACTTTTTTTTTATCTTCCTTTTGTTTTGTTTTACATTTACAATTTACATCACTGTGAGGAAGCGCGCGATTTGATATTAATCGTCGCCACGCTTTGTTTACAAAACTGTACTGCGGCTGCTGTTGTTGTTGTGGATTCTTGCTGGAAAGAGAAGGAAAGAACGTTTGTTTAATTAGCTAATTGAATTATAATTATTTATGGATAAATATATATTACACATATATACAGATATGGGGGAGAGAGCCGGAAAAGGTTTGAAGCGTACGGCGCAAATAAAAATAATAAATAATAACAATAAAGCGCTCTCTGCCGCTGTTAGCTCGCTGTTAACAGATGCTCTCTCTGCTGCTGCTGCTGCCGCTCACTCTCTCTCTCTCTCTCTTTGGCAGGTGAACGAACGACACGCGACGCAAAAAGCATGCGTCTGTGTGCGAGCGAGAGAGCGCGCAAGTTCAACGTGTGGCTTGGCTTTTTTTGTCGTATTTTCTTTTTCTGCCGGGGCGCCGCCTCTAATACATACACACGCACACACGCCCACCTCTGACATTGCACTCACAAACACACTCACGCACGCCGAGTGACAGCTGTTTCAAGTTCGATTTCGATTTCGATTACTCTTTTTCGACTCTGTTGTCAAGGCGAAAAATTTGGTGTGCATTTTAATTACAAATGTTGATTAACCCCACAACACACGATACATGTTCATATGTACAACCTACGTGAGCAAATATTTTAATTAGCTAAACAAAACACACAGGCACATTGTTTTTATTGTTGTTGTTGTTGTTGCGGTGAAAGTGGCGTTTATTAGCGTTTAGAGGTGCGCTGCTTGCTTTCTTGTTGCCATTGTTGTTGTTGTTGTTGTGGCTGCTTTTCTGCGGCACATGTCGGCATTTCGCGATTTTGTTGCCAAGCAAATGGAATTGACCAGCAGACGACCAGGGTTGCCACTCCTCTTTCATTTTTGGCTCTGCCTCTCGAAGGGATAAAAGGGATAACAAAACAAAAAAAAAAAACTCCCAACTTTACAGCTTCCCTCACAATTATACAACAAAAATTTCTATCTACCATACCAAAGAATACCAAGAATTGGTTTGAAATTAACCCTTTAATCATTTTTACAAATTCTAAATTGATATGTTCTTTCAAACAAATAATATTATTTACGGATATGTTTTATACCTTGAGATTTTTTAATTATAAACTAACAGAATTGCCTTACTAAAAAGACTTCTTAAATATAGGACGCTGTCCTCTACTTTAAAAGACAAGTTTTTCAACAGCCACTGTACAGTATAGTCTCGACCCGTCTGTGTTTCTGCAGAAAATTATTCACACATTTTACCGGCAAAACAGAAGGAAACCAGTTCCTGAACCAACAAAAAAAAAAAAAGAAAAGTGCAGCCTGTGAATGATTCTCCTGCCGTGAATCAGAAGTGTATAAAAAAGAAACAAATGCGTCACTGCTCTCTGCACTTTGTGACTAATAAATAAGTAATTCCCAGCGCGCGGATCTTGCAGATCATGCGGCTAACGAGTGTTAACCCGTTGTTGTCAACTGATCAGCGATCGGCGGACGGACAATCGACCGCTTATCAGTATCAGTTCATTTGACTTTTCACACTTTTCTGCAATGTCCGGGGTTCGTTACTTATTTATGTATTTATTTTTTGCATTTATTTTTACCGCAGGCGGCAGCAGCCACAGTTTTTTATGCATGTTTCATCATTTATTTTTGGCCCAACACGAAGTCGGCTAAAGGCAGCAATAAATAGCTGCAACAAAGACACATACCCACGCACTCCCACACAAAAACAACAAAAATGCAAAACAAATAAGGCGCACTGAAAGAAACGCGAGCTGATTGCTTTTTATGTTTTGCAGCAGCTGGCAACCCTGTTCTACGGATGGGTGGTCTACAAATATCTTCGAGATCGGATCTCAGTCGACTCCCCCAACTCTGGTAAAAATACTAAAAATTCCACATTGAGATTCCTACGAATACAGTGATCATTCGCAAATGGGCTAACGTCGTTTTAATTAATGGTTTAGTTTTGTTAAAAAACGAACTACAAATGAAGGGGCTGTACAAAACACTCAAAAATATAAGATTGTTGTTAATAGTTATGTTCCGAATTTTTAAAATTTTGGTTTGATTAATAATTTTTGAACACGATAAACGTAGCCATATTTTAAGATTGTAAATTAAATCAACTCTGTAAAGTTGGCTGTAATGAGTGCCTACAGTAAATTAATCGATAACGGAATCGGAAGTATCAAGTGGGAAATACGGTCTCACTATTTTCCAGCCCAGCTTAGCGAGTTAGTACTGTTTTAAGGCATACAAGAAATAAAACTTTATGATCAGCGTTTGACGTCAGAATAGGTTTGTCTGTCTGTCAGATTGTGGCTATATACGTATAGTGAACACACTAGTATGTATGTATGCTTGCCTTGCTGCTCGTGCTCTCTTTCTTCTTTCTTTCCCAGTACCCAGTACCCAGCACCCAGCACCCAGTTTCCCTCGCCCCTTTCTCCTTTCTCCGCCAGCCACCCACATCCACCCACCGCATAAAAAGAAGACGACGGAGCACGTCATGTGGTGACCCAAATCGTTCGTGTGACTTTTTCCATTTGCGCTCGTTTTGTTTAATTTAATTTGCGTGCACATTAAACGCTGTTACTAAACTAATAAATTAAATAAATCATATTTGCACTACAGTCTTGTTAGTTTATTTTTGTTTGGTTTGTATTTTTTTTGCTCAACATGTGGCGAAATTGTTTGTTATTAACATTGCACACCCACACTATTTTACCCAGTGTATATGTGTACATATATTTGACTATGTGCGTGCTCCAGATTTTCTAGGTGTCTACTAAAAATACCTTGTAGGCGTTTTCCGCTTCTTCTGTATTCATTAGTATCGCTGATTAGCCCAAAAAATAACTCAAAGAACTTGGCCAAAGAAGAGGCAAGAGCTAGTACGGCATAACTTCGATATGTTGAACCTAACAGTTAACTCTTAAAAGAAGTTTGTCTAAAAGTAGTCTTAAATTATAATTTATAAAGTGTATTACAATAAGAATAATTTCGAAGTTTTTTAAAATTCTTACAAAATATCATGTCTAAAATTAAACAAAAAAAAAAGAAATTAAAGCTTTGAAGCAAATTTCCTTTATAAGGATTTAACTATATCTACACAAATTTTTAACAATTAAATACTCAACATAATGGTTGGATAAAGTTGGATTAGGGGCAGTTCTAGTTTAATAACCCCCTTATGAAACCCTTTAGGGAAGTACGACTGTAGTAACAAAAAGAAACTGACAACAAAACGGTTTTTACGCTTTTGAAAGCACTTTTTCAATGGAAGATCGCGCAAAAAAGCGAAGAATTTATGCTTTCTTTCTCCGCAATCCCCGATCCCCTGTCACGCTCACTCCCCCTGGGAGCTAAGTGCGTAGTAGAATGCGAGAGGGAGAAGAGCGATAGAGAAGAATCGAAAGCGGCGAGGAGAAGAGAGTGTTGGAGAGAGAAAAATGCAAATGCCGCTGGCTGGCTAAGTTTATTATATTTATTTCTGCCGTTGTTGTTGCTCGTTCTTTTTTGCTTTTGTTTTTGTTTTTTTTTGCTTAGCTTGGCTTGGTTCAAAGTTCAATGACCGATTTTGCCTTTGCCGAAACTGAAGCGAAATGAACTGAAATAAAATAAAAAAAATAATCAAGTGAACTTAAGTGAGCGGCGCAGTCGCAGACCTTTGTTTCCATCTCCCTCCCACAAAGGCACACACACACACACACACACACACTCACACTGAGGCACATGGCCACACACAAGGTCAGTTAATAAAGTTGATTTTTGCTCAATACGCAATAGCGCAAAAATGTGCAAATAAAAAATATAAACACTAACAAGTGGCAAGCAAAAGTACAAAAGAAAAGGCGGCAATTAAAAACCAACCTTTCATGTCTGTAAATTGAAGTTATTTTTGGTGATGGTGGGATCTGCAATTTGATAATTACTAGATCGTTTCATACTGTTTACCATTTTGACCTTTCTTATTTACAGATCATATTAGGAAAACCCAGAAACTCTTTTGGATTATCGAAAAGGACTTTTCAATAGTTTGCGTTAAATATTATTTAATAAGATTGTGTTTTATTTTACCTATGAAGATTTGATTTGATGCGAATTTGATCTGTTTTATTTACAGATCATATTAGGAAAACCCAGAAACTCTTTTTTATTATCGAAAAGGACTATTCAATAGTTTGCCTACAATATTATTTAATAAGTTTGTGTTTTATTTTACCTATGAAGATTTGATTTCCAAAAAAGAATCTACTTTTAATTCCTCATTTACCCCAGTGTATCTGTGTGTTTTGTATGGTAATTCAAAACTGCGCATTCATTGATGACGGATGACGTCGCAGCTTTGACAGTGGCATTGAAAATTTCAATTTCGCAAGCAGACTGCAAGCAACAACAACAATAATAATAAATACAGAACCAGAATAAGAAGGCGCTCTCCATTACTATATACCTACTAAATAACAAAGGAAAGGAAAAGCAGGAATGGATTTAAATTAAATAAATATTTTCTCATTTGAAAATGTTTACTAAATGCACCTTAAAGGGTAATAGATATTTGAGATCGTTGTTATAGCCTTTTCTGAAGAACATAAGATCATGTTTTAATAAATCACATTTAATAGAAATAAACAAAGCATAAGTAATTTTAAGGATTTAAAAAAAAAACATGATGCACATAAATTTCCTCAAAATCGAGCGGGTAATAAAACCTTTCCAAGAACTGTCAGCTAAAAAGTTAATTCATCTTTCTTAGAAAACATAAAATGTACATATTTTCCTGAATGAACAAGTGTTTTAGTGGCTGAATAAAATATTTCTGTTATATTAAATGATATTGCATTTTGAAAAATAAATTCAAAAGCTTTTTGCTGGTTTTAAGGATGGGTACTACTTTCGCTAGGGGTTTTCCCCACTTCTGCTTGTTCTGTTTTCTGAATTTGTATTTATTTTGCTGCACTGATTAGGGAATAAAGTAATAATAATGATAATAATAACCAAAACAAATGGCAGCACGTGTATGGCATCTGGTTTGTTGTGTTTAAGCGACACTCACTTTCCCCCCTCGGCACACGTGTTAAGTAGTTAGTTAGTCAGCCAGTCAGTTAGTTAGTTACTTAGCTAGTTAGTTGCGCTGCGTCAGCGTCGCAATTGCGCCGCAATTGGGCACTAATGAAATATTCTTGATACGCATTTAACCCGCGAGGGGGGAGAATGAAGGAGAAAGGTGTGAAAGCTACCAACTAAGGTGTTAATTACCCATCGCTATGACAGCCATTAATCCTGCAGGAAAATAGAAAATGGAGAAAGCGGCGGGGGAAAATATAAGAAGGTTGCTTCTTCGTTTTTCACTCAATTAAAAATTCGTTAAAGGGAAACCAGACGCTTAAAGACCTCTGAATCAGCGGGATAATTTTCACACAAATAAACTGCAATTTATGAGGACATTTTACGTGTTCCTTAAATTAATGTATGTTCTAAATAGTGATACTTCTACAAAGTGTAATTCTTACTGAAGACCCGGTATTACTTATATTTCTGGTCACATTCTAAGACTAAGTAATATTCTAAAACCATAACTTATTACTACATACCTAAATTGTCAAAATAATTGATCCTTTCATAACATTATCATACTTTCTAGAAACCCCTACAATATTTATCGAATTTTTAAATCCTTTAGATCCTTAACAACAGAACTAGTATATACTAACAAGCAGCCCCAGTCAGATCCCTCAAATTTCGAATTGAAAATGAATATATTTCTACCGTATATCGTACTACTGATGACTCTCCGCATAACGAGTGCACGCTCGATGAGCTTTGACCCGCCTTATTATGGATACGACTCCTACCTGGACACCTATCTGGACAACACCAGCGATGATATGTCCTCGAAAGAGGTCAAATGCGATCGTGATGGCAATGCACCGGGTACAGTGGAGCCCCCGCCTTATCTGGGATATCAAACCCATTCGCCCTACCAGTACAATCCATCATCATGCGGAAATAATAGGGATAGGGATCGAGATAGAGATAGGGATCGAAACAGGGATAGGGATCGAGAGCGAGAAAGAGATCGGGATAACTGCGATTCCAGTGAAAGCGACACGAACAAATCCCGGATGAAGGCCACCCACATTGCCCAGAATGCCGCCCAGGTGGCCAAGGCCGCCAATGATGCACAGGCGGCGGCCGCCCAAGATGCCTCCCGCCAGGTGAAAATGCAATTGGCCGACAAGGCCATCTCGGCCGCTCGGGCCGCCGATGCCGTGCTGGAGGGTAAGCAAGCCATTGTCAAGAACTTTGGACGGGAGGTCCGGGAGGCCGAGGCCGTTGTGGAGCAGGTGAGCGCTTCTCTGGAGTCCAGTGAATCTAATGTGGATGCCGCCTGTGCTGCAGCCAAGACGGCGGAGGCTCAAGCCCTCGCATTCAGGTATCTATTGAAAATATGATCATGATCATGTGGTCTTAAAAAACTTCGATATACCCAAAGCGCTGTATCGTTATATTATATTTAAAATTTCGTTAGAATTTGCTTGGTAACACGTCTTATTTGAATATAATAACATGTTTTTAATATTCCAGTTGTTGAAAAATAACGTGACTACGTTTCTATTGAACCATAATCGACTATCGATGAGTTTTTATTTGCAAAAAGGACGGGCTTAAATTGCTTCTACATTTTAAAATGCATATACCCTACACGTATCTCTCACAAAAACCTATTTTAATGTGAAAAATATCTATATTTTTGGCTATTTCAATATATAATTTTTCGATATCATTTATCGATATCAATCCCTACTTTTAGGGCCATGGTGGAGCAGACAAGAGCCACCTTGACGGATGTGGACGGCCTGATCGAGCGGGCCAACGCGGATCTGGAGGAGAAGACCCAGATGCTGACGGCCGCCAAGGCGCGTGGTGACCGATTGGGCCGCCAGATGGCGCAGGCGAGGTCGGAATACGAGCAGGTGAAGGAGGCGGCCTGTCGAGCAGCCTCCGCCGCCGTGGAGGCCAAGCAAAAGGTCTCTTCCAGCAATTTCCTGCCGTTGGGCGGTGGAGGAGGAGGAGGAGGAGCTTGTGGAGGAGGAGGAGCTGGTGGAGGAGGAGGAGCTGGTGGAGGAGGAAGTGCTGGTGGTGGTGGTGGTCTCCCGCCGCCCCAAAAGACGGGTGGGTGTGGCAGCTATGGCCACGATAGTGGCACCTGCCAAGCCCTCCTGGAACTCTACAGGCAGCGTCGCCGGCAACAACAGCGAAAGCGGCGAGAGAAGCTCCGGAATCGGGCGACTCGAGGTCGAGAAGAGTCCATCTACGAGGATCACTCCTTCGATCTGATGCGACCTATATTTTGATAGCGACTACCAATTCAACGTCTTATTTTTATAATCGTTATTATGGAAGATTAAATTTCCCTTCTAAATGAAGCTTTCGGTTTTTATGGGACAGGGATCTAGGGTAATCTATTCTCTTCCAATTTGCAGAATTCAGCGTTGTATATTTTAAGAACGAATCTTTTCCTTTTTTTTATATTTCCAAACATCAAAGTGAGTCCCTTTCAATGAATGCATTGTATAGTTTGATAGAGGTTCCAAAGTTTACGTTCTATTTTTATGGTGGCTGCAGATTACATTTTCTATTTTCGCAAAGGCTATAGATTAAGTGATCTATTTTTAGATTGATTTCAGATAATACTAGGTGTGCAACACAATCGATTAGATTTATCGGAAATGATTTGGCAAAAATAGTAGACTATTGTTAATGCTTGCGGGTTACCACTGTAGCTGTGTGAATATGCAATTGTTTACCAACAAATTCGCTTTGCAGTGCCGTAATTCTTGCGAAATAAACAAAAACAATGGATCGGTGTTGTTGGTGGTGGGCGAATGGAATGGGCAAAGGAAAACGAGTGCAAGGCCAAAAATCACCGAAGCAAGATCGCAAAGAGAAGAAAGATGGAGATGGAGAAGGAGAGTGAGCGGGAGTGGCAGAAAGACAGGGGAGTAAAGTGGAAAACCCATCTTTATCCAGAAAAAAACAGCTGTTTGGGTTTTCCTGCTTTCTTTTGTATTTGATTTCGGTGAAAACGGTGGGCGGTTGGGTGTTAGAAGTGCAACGGCAGCAGGGTTGCCACCTTTTGCGGCGCTGTTGCGTCGTTGTTGTTTTTATTGCTATTTTGGCGTCGCTTCTTGAAACTCGAAACGGAAGAGAGAGAGAAGGAGAGCAGGAGAAAGAGAGGGCGCGCGCATTTCGCACCGAGCGAGAGAGAGAGCGGAAAAGAGAGCGAACTCATAGAATAAGAATAAATTGAATTATAATTTTAAAATCGTCAATTAACACTTCAAGTATATTTAATTAAGTGATTACAATAACGACAAAGCCAAAACAAAGGGGAGAAATGTGTAAGTAGCACAAGGAAACACACGGAGTACAAAAGTTTCCTGGCAATTCAATTAAGGAACTTTTGACTAAATCTGCATGGATTTCTCAATGGAAAGCACTTTCTTTAGTGAATTATGAATTGGAAATATTAGTTAGCTGTAAAAATTTTTGTGCACGCTTCTTTTAAAAATAAGGCATCAACTCACTCGAGTACAAACAAAACCAAAGGGTTTAATAAAGGGTATAATCCAGCCATTTCATTTGTTCTGTACTTAATATATTTATACTTGTCTACAGCTTGATTTATAATAGAAACATAAAATAAATGTATAAATGCTCGCAGTCCAATTGGACTTTAAAATGCCGGCTAGTCCAATTGGCTTGTCTTTGGGCGCCTAACAGCAACACTGTTACCGCTTAACAGCACGCTGTATAATGTTAGTGCTGGACGCTTGAATTTCGGCTCTCTCTGCTCTCTTTTTTTCAACCTAACCAAACAGAAAAACAGAAGCATAAAAAAGACTAACTTACATTTATTTGATGTTCGCCGTTGTTTTTCTTTTTGGTCGATTATTATTATTTAGGGCTGCAGCTTTTTTAGGCCCGCTGCGATGCAGTTATCCCGCACATGACTGTAGTTGTTGATGGCTGCAGCTGCCGCCGTTGTTGTTGTTGCTAATGATGCTGCTCCTTTTCCTATGTTTCCACTTCGTACTGGGTGCTGCTTAATTAACTGCTTAACTTTTCACATTTTCTTTTCATTTCCTGCAGCTCTCTCTTCGGTTTTTCTCCTTTTCCGCCCGTCTGGCCAAAAAGAGCGCAGTGTACAAAAAAAAAGGCACACACACACACCAAAAGAGGAAAAAAAAACACACTTACACTCACGCACCCACACGCATACACAGACACGAGCGAATCGGGGGAAACGAGATGCTAACTGAAAGCGTTGAATTTTCGACTTTCCCGTTTTCCGCACGGCCGGAATTATTCAGCTTGCTTCACCGGACCTCTATTTATGTATTTATTTAACATTTATTTGATTCAGCAGCTCGCTCAACCGCTTGTTATTTACTTTTTCACACCGTGCTTTCGCGCTGCATTTTCGTTGCTCGTTGCTCAAAAATCTCAAAAATGAGCCTCAGAAGTGAGCAAACCAGCGCAGACTAGAGATGGGCAGCAATAGCCGTGTCACGAGCTTGTCACGATATGGTATTTGTTTAGCCGTGCCTTAAAAAATCAATCACCATGCCATCTCCAAATAAGTTTAGAATAAACTATTCAGCTGTTCGTTTTTCACCTGCTAAACGTTTAAGTTCACCTGGTGTCTGAAATTACCACCAGAAAACAATTTAGAGTGAAGAGAGGTTATTTTACACGTCGGATTTGGAAAATTAGAAACAGTAGTATGATTAAAATACACAGGTCGTGAACTATTTTAAAAGAAAAACTAAAATCAAATTGAGTATTTTATTTAATTTCCGTATTCATTATTTCATGAATCCCGCCTTTAAAATATTTTTGGTATATTTGAAAAAACAAATATGGTATTTTTCTAAGCTGGTATAGTCTATCGATAACTGTCCACCATCTTTGTCGATTTGTTGCGCCCGTGTGGTTTTCGAAAATTCTGTGATCGAAAACCGACTAATTACGCGGTAAATTTAAGACACAACTAAGTAATTCGCATGGCTTACGGTGCGACCGAGCGGTGTGGAGGGATCTCGACAAGTGCAAGGTGTGATCTAAGTTTAATCTGCTTGCTAATAAAATTGAGAGTATGTAAAGTAAGAGCTATATGATTAGGTCCTCAACGGAATGATTACTCAAGGCAAGCAGCTGGCACTTGAGCAGGAAGGCTGTGATCCTTCGCTCCGAACTAGAGACCTCAAATTAATAGCTCCCTTTACATCCTGTATACCCTCTACACCATGGCCTTTTAATAGCATATGGATTTAACGGTAATTAAATTTACTCGTCACCTAAAACCGGTTTTAGTTAGAAGTCCAGTCATCTTTAATTGCAAAGAAGCTGTTAAATTGTGACCCGATTATTCAAACTTGATCTGTAAACAAACATTAATGAGGACCGTAAAAGTGTGATTAAATGAATTCCGTATTGGCTCGCAGAGTATAATTAAATCCCTCAAGACTGTAAAACAAGGAGTTGCAAAAATATTGAGGCATACCAAGTATTTATAAAAATACATACCGAATATTATGAAATCCAGTTAACTTTTGAGTCGCAAACCCCGCAGTTCGCATTTCCAACATAATGAAAGCGCTGTTGATCATTCTGTTTCCGTCGATTTTTGTATCCTTGGCATCCTCAAATCTAGTAAATGCTGTTCAACAGAGGACATCCAATCCAATAGCGGAAAATCCCTGCAGTTCATATCGTGTTTGGGTTTTAAGGCCCATCCTCGATCGATTTGTAAAGGTGAATTCCAGTGAGGAACTGAAAGTCCAAGTAAATGCTATGGCAGAAACTATTAAGGATTTGCAAAGTCAAATCAACTGCAAGGAAGAGCAATTAGTTGAAAAAACCAAGGAAATCAAGGATCAAAGGGGCAAGGTTAATGTCTTGGCGGCAAACATTAAACACTTGCGGAGTGAGCTGGTAACAGCTAAAGCTGAAATCAAAAACAAGGACAAACAGATACAATTTAATTTTGAAAAAATATCTGAGATAACCGAAGAACTTTTGGAATGCAAGCCAAAGGGCTTTTGTCCCAGCGAAGGACCAAGTGGAATTTACAATATTACAATGAGGGGAATCGATACTTTCGGGGTACCCTGCAATTCAAAAGGTTGGTTAACCATTCAAAAACGATTCGACGGTTCCGAGAACTTCGATCGTCCCTGGAAGGACTACAAGGATGGATTCGGGAATACAACAGGAGAGTTTTTCATTGGGTTGGAAAAAATTCACCATATTACCCACGAGCAACCACACGAACTTTACATAACACTGAGAAAGATCGATGGCTCCACTAGCTATGCTCACTATAAGGATATCAAAATTGGAAGTGAGGAAGAATCGTACCCGCTAAAAGCGCTGGGTACATATGAAGGTACGGCCGGGGACTCCCTGAGGGTTCATGAGAACAAAAAGTTCACCACTTTCGACCGGGATAATGATTCCTACAAATTTAACTGCGCTGCCGATGAATATGGTGGCTGGTGGTACTACAACTGTGCCCAGAGGTAAGCATATTCAAATAGCAGGCATTTATAACGACAATTCAAATCACAGCATGCTCAATGGAAAGTACTATAAAGAGGGCCACTCCAGAGATAACAAGACAAATGGCATTTTATGGGGTTCTTGGCACAACAACGACTGGACCTACTCGCTCACCTTTGTGGAAATGATGATTAGGCCTAAAACGTTATGAAATAAAATTGTAAATACTATTATTATTTAGGTGAAACAAATCACAATACTGCATTAATTAATAATATTTTGTTATCTATTCGAACGCGTTCTGATTTACATTGTATTTTTGATCTGAAATTCGGTTCCTTTGTAAAAATTGGCTCGAAGAATAAGGCAAATAAATATATGAAATGCATGCTTGTATTGTATTTATTATATTAATGAGACGTGTATTTCAAATAATATTAAATAACTTAATTTGAATTTTGAATTTAAAAAAGCTTTCAAGAGAGTGTGCGTAAACACAGAATTTCAGTGTTTGAAAACACCAACTTTGGTGGTATTTCAGTTAGTATTTAAATACTGCTATGTTCCAGCCGGAACGATAGTATCGACTAGTGTCAGAATATTTCTACCATCTCCAAAAACTTGTTGTTTTTTAATTTCGGAAAGAAAATGTTAATCAAAAGTGTGTGTAAATAAAACGAACTATTTGCTTAGAACTATCAAATCGACGCCAGGCACGCCATCGAGTACTATCTGCCCCCACCCACAACCATTACCACCCCGTGCCCGCGGATATCCGCTATCAGCAGTTCCCCAGTTCCGCAGTTCCAGTGGTGAGTAGAGCACCAGTACCAGTACCATCCAGTACTTAGTGCTCAGTTCTGAGTGCTCAGTGCCCAGCAAGCAGTTCCGGCGAGCAGACCCGTGAGATATAGCCGCGGATCGCGGGGTTGGAAACCACCACTCACACTGGCCCCATTCCTATCTGCTTCCAGACGCAGCTGATCTGAAGATCCCTAGATCCCCGCCGTAGCTCCAGCTCCAGCTCACCAACGAGTCCGATCATGTCCAGCGACGCCAATACGCCCGTGCTGCGCAACTGCATCCGGCTGCCGCTGCCGGAGGAGGAGCTCCTGGAGGTGACGGCCAAGGCCAAGGACTATGCCATCATGCACGGCGCCGCCATGCGATCGAAGACCGCCTTCAGCCCGGACTCCCTGAACGTAGGTGGTACAGTCGAGCCTCGCTAGTGGCAACTCCACCCCTGCTAGGGTTTTTTTCTTTTGACATTTAATTGCTATAATGATTTATCGCGGTTTTGTAGACTGAAAAACTAGTTTCCGTAGAGTGCAGTACAAAAAATTTCGTTTCCTGATTATTTTAGGTTTAGGGTTTAGGTTTTACGATCATAACTTTAATTCAAAATGTAGTAATAATAAACTATAGTAATTTGAGTGAATTCTGGGAGTTAAGACACTCGAGCGAGATCCACTGTTATGAAATGCCAGTATACTAAACCAAGTCAATTGCAGTTCGCCCCCTTTGTCCTGGTGCCATCCTCGTTTCCGCGCAAGGAGTTCGAGAAGGCGGTGGCCCTGCAGCCGATCATCAACCGGCTGATGCACAACGTGGCCCACGACGAGGAGTTCATCACCACGACGCTGGCGGAGACGATCAAGGTGGACGAGTTCACGGCCAATCTGTTCAACATCTACCGCAAGGTGCTGGCGCACGGGTTCACCCAGGTGAGATTCCGTCAGCCGGCGTCCATCCATCTCCGATCCTCCTGCACATCACTATCGTATCCACCTCATCCCCATCGGGAGCACATCTACAGGCAGCCAGTGGGTTTCTCGCTAGAATTTATTGGGCCCCTCCACCCCCGGTCGCAATCTAATCGCCCCTCCATAAATCCATAGCCAAGAGCTCGGTTGTAGTCGCTAATCTCGCGTGATTTATGCGAGCATCCTGGTCTCTCGGTCTCGCAGCTCCTTATCGATGATATGTCCAGTTAGCCGCTTGTAAATCGACGTAGGACAGGCCATCCCTGACATCTAAAACGCTAGCCCTTTGTCATTGCTCTCTTCCCTTTTGGTTTACTTTAATTTCCCCTAACGAAACCAGCACAGAGGCGAATTTCATGAACTTTTCCATGTCAAAAAAAACCTAATCTTTGCATATCATATATTTGATCGTATCAGAAAGGTGACAAGTTGTGATTATTTTTAATAATTATATTGGCTCGGTTGCCGCCAGAGATTATCTATATATATAAAACTATCCACTCAAAACTAGAATCGACGCACAGTCAAATCTACTTAAATAAGACTAGTAAATTTTAAATTACGCAGAGACTATTTAATTGTCCTCTTACTTTTACTTTTCTCTTAATCTTGTTGCCTTTAGCAATGATTTCCATATGTATATAGGATTTTTAAGCTATGATAATTTTTTTGGAATTATTAAAAAACAAGTTGGTCAGTTAAGTATCAGCAATTTATGATTTGCCAAGCAACTTATATCCACTTTAATCTGTAAATATCAAGATCAATTGCGAAACTAGTTTTCTGTGCAAAATTTATTTCACAATTTGTGCTTTTCACGTCACCGCTCCCTCAAAAAAGAAACCTTAACCACGCAATTGTACAAACTCTCGATCTCAACCACAATCTGTTGCTCCATTATCCGTCACTCATTGCATCGCTATGCTACGAAAAATGATCGAATTGAATCAAATGAATCCGAAACCGAAACCAAAACCAAAACAAATCGGATCGAATCGAAGAAAATATCGCTGGGTATGCTGCGCAGCGATCTGATGCTGGAGTCCGGCTGTCCGGAGTTGTCGCCCCGGGCGCTACGGACGACGGCTGGCGAGGATGCGGCTGCTGATGTGGGAAAAGGAGCCGGAACTGCTGCTGCTGGCACGGGCAGAAAGGAGGAGGAGAAGGAGGAGCAGAAGGAGCACAGGGAGAATCAGCTGAGCCGGGCCACCAAAGAGCGGGAACGGAGGGCGACCGGCATTCAATCCGCATACTGCTGCTGGAAACAAGTCGAGATCAATACAATAGCTTCGGGCTTTGGCCATTTGGGACCAGCAAGTAAAACCATACAAAGGTGCTGTCCACACCCACAGTCCATTAATGCAGCCACTGCAACACCACACCACACCACCATTAGCAACACTCCCTGATTAAAACCCAGTCCTCTTACCACCCGATCATCCCATCGCATATCTGCATTCCTGCATCGCTTGCATCCTTTGCCTAACCACACGAAACCACACACACTAACACCAGATCCAGAAACAATCTCGTTTCTCGAATCGAATTCCAAAATTTGGAATTGGATTGAATAGAAGACTATTCAGTAGCTCGGATATCTCATTTTGTAAGCATAGACAATTCTGTATTATATGGTCATGAAAAAAGAAAACTTGAAGTTCAGTAATACCAAGTTTCGTATTTAATCATTTAACTTTGCTCAGCTTGCCTAAAATGTTAAATACAAAAAACAATTACAAGCAATTTAGAGAGAGAATCAATCAAAATTTTTAGTTGAATATAAAGTAATAATTAAAAGTAATAAATCTTTAATAGTAGAAAAGAAATCCGAAATCCAACATGATATATGAATTGTTATGGTAAATTGCGTGTGCTTTTGTGTGTGTTGCTTTGTAAAGTCCTTTGTTCTTTAGTTGAAGTTGATTTTGTTCCGCCGTTTCTTAGACATGTATTTATGTATAAACATAGCTACATATTTTACTGACAATATGCTTAAACGCCTTTTTGGTTGAGTCCTTGAGATCGTTGAGTAGATTTTTGATTTACTGCCGCTGCCTGTCGCCTGTTGCCTCCTGCCAGCTCTGTACCTGATTTGATCTGATCTGCTCTGCTCTTGCCTTCTGGCTCCTGCATCCTGCCTCCTGCCTCCTGCCTCCTGCATCTTGCCACCTGCTCCTCCCAACCTAACTGTAGCAGCTTACCCGCTTATTAATCTTCATCTTTCCAAGTGATTGTCCGTTCCGCTGTTCCTTACTTATCCAACTTTTCGCATAGTCCCTTCCTATATGACAGACACTGATAAGCCGAACTTTTGGGGTGTAGCTATCAGGGATTAGATAAATATCAAGGGTGTACAATGTGTTAATTACATCAGATGACACATTCTTTTATTTAGTTTTTTCTCATTCCCCTTTGATAACGCCAATAATATATTTCACAACCTTGAATTATTCAATCTCTAGAAGTTTCTGGAACATGCACCCAAATGTCAGCACTAAAATGGTCTAATCAATCAAAAAACCATTTCAGGCCTTATAAACATAGTTTTCCATAGATATTAAACTCATAGGCTGAAGGCCAGAATTTAACGATTATTCGATATACTTTGTAGTCCAAAAACAAAGGCCCCACATGGAGACCTCACAGCTGGGCTTGATAGGATTACAGATAGGGATATGGGCCCAACTGATATAGATACGCCTGGTAATTGGTGGCATTTAAAGTGGAGGCGGGCGATAACAGGAAAACAAAAACAAAACAATGGATGACAAACCTAGTAATTCGTCTGAAACTTCAAGTTTTATCCAGTCATGGAGTTTTAGCCTTCAAAACTGTACCTCTTGCCTAGAATTTCCCATGAAATGTTGGGATTAAAAACACCTGTTTGTGGGTTTCGTGCCAGCTTTTTGTCTGTTTATTTACTTACCAGCAGCGGTGACGTAAACATAATTAAACAGATTAGATCAGAACATGTTTATTAAATAGTAAAAGTATCAGCTGTAAATGTGGACGGTAAAAAACAGTTTTTGCTTCGCAATGCTTAGTTACACTTTCCATGATATGGAAATAAAATGACGAATTGCCAAAAGGTGAATCATAATCAAGTTCGAGGTGAACCAAAAATATGATTTTGCTTGACTATTTTTAAAAGTAGTGAGCTATTAGTATAGTATAAATTCAACAGTACAATCATAAATCTGACTTGAATAAACACCACCCACTTAGGAAATAGGGCGATTAACACTTTACAATCTAATGTTTGAGGCACCTCGTTCGAATTTGAAAGATAAGTTAAGATTAGAATGGAAACTTTCTCTCCCTAGCCTGTGGAAGATCTTTAATAATACAAATAGAAGGCAGTGCTTTTGGGCTAAGTAGTTTAAATAGTATTGGGGGTATGCATCGTTTCACTTTACCATCCTCCACCATTTCTCGCCTCTGTCTCTCTGAATATATAAATATATATCCGCACCTACCTCATCCTATATTTTAAAGACCCACGGACGAGGATCACACCATACCTAGATATATGAACAATATTTTTTTAATCGCTTTTATCGGCTAAGAAGCTACTTTAAGGGACGCACCTAATGTATATA